ATAGATGTATAAATCTTTAATGTATTTTCATTCATTTTAAAAGAGAAATCTTGTGTTAAGAATATATTTGTATATTGATGAAGAAATATTGTAAATTCATCAAGTTTTCTAATTCGTGTTCACATAATGTACCATTTATCCAAAGTATACAAATTTTTGCTAATTATGTTTTAATAATATTAGTGTTAAATATAAATTAATTTCAATGTGAAAGAGGGATGCTACACAAAGTTTTCCAATCACTAAACAAATTTTAGAACAATTAAACATATATGATTAACTTGTTGATAACTGATATAAATAGTTATCCATCATTAGTAGTTGTTTTCGATCATTATTCACTCTCATATCTTCAACGAATTTTTCATTGTAATATCTAGCAAATGAGAGACTTAGTGTTGGAGAAGGAAGGAAAATGAGCTGTTGTTGGAGCGGAGTTCTTGAAAGAACTAACAACAATGGTTACAGGGGGAAAGGAAAGAAATTGAGGAAGATGAGGTGGGGTTCAAGAGGCATACACCACGACCATTACGCCACCCTCTTGCTATCGATTTTTTTTTTGTTGGTAAAATAGGATAAATTTAAAAATAAAATTTCAAAATAAGCTTAAATAAAATATATTCCTTGAGTTATTTTTCTCACATCACTTTAAATATCTTTTTTGTATAAAATAATATTTATTTTTGAATAATAACAATATTTAATTTTTTATTATTAAAAAATAAGTTGAAGTGTATTCCTTGCATTTCTGTTTCTTTAATTTTTTTGTGTTGTTTTTGTTGGAATCCAAATTCTTGTGATGACAATTGAATATTAAATTTCATTTTTGTAATCAGAATGAATATTAATAAAATAGCAAAAATATTACACAAGAAAATTTTATGTCTGTGCTTCCCATTCTTTTCTCCATCATGGAACTTCTCTTCCCAAGAGAACCTCTAAAATCGCAACTCCAAATGCAAAAACTTCCATCTTTGGAGTAATTAAACTATTCTCTAAGATACTTAGGTGGCATGTAACCTTGAGTTTCCACCACATGCCTTCTCAATTGAAACCCTTAGTCCCTTTGATCGTTTACAACTTTTACCAATTCAAATATTACTAGAAACACGTAAATCACAACTTTTATTTTTTGAAAAATTCATCTATAATACAGACTAAAACAATTTGCGTGTGAAATCCTTTTATAAATGGCCCATTATTTGATACAAAATATTACAAATGGAAAAATTTATTTGTAATGTGCGAATTAAATGAAAATTGTGTCTTCTCGTTCTTCTTCCTCTCTTTGCATTAGGGAAAATTCTGCCAAAATTTATATTAAAAATTTATATAATATAAAATAAAAGATATTCATATTAGTATGTGTGCTTGTATTTAGGTTTGATTAAAGTATAGTAGGTAAAGGAAAGAAGTGGGTCAAGAAAATGAAGAAGATAGAGAAAAATGTGGTATTGAGGATGCAAAGTGAGGTGCAACAACATATGCAGATGCAACAAACACATGTATACTTCAAACTCATATGTGTATGTGTGTGCGTATATGATAAATGTGGATGTTGATTGTGCATCGAGATTGACTATACTGAACTGTTGAAATAGGTTGAGTATAAGGTGCAGGGTGTTCTCACTGCAGCGAGAGAGCGATAGTTTGAGATGCAATTATGGGTGCAGTCTTGCTGTAGCAAAAAGGTCTTGTTATAGCAAGATTCTGCAGAAATCAGGATGCAGTTTTCTCTGAAATTTTCGCTGAAGCGAGAGTGTCACGACTAGAGGAGTATTTGAAGGGAGTTAGGGTTTGAAAATTTATTTTTCCATTCCTCTCTTTAAAATTTCGTCGATTCTCTGGACCCAAAACCCTATTTTACTGATTAAATTGCCTCTAAAGCCATTTGAGAGCTAGATTGAAGGTTGGATTCGTGTTAGGAACACTTGGAGGTGAGTTTTAATGGTTAGGGTTTTGGTTTCTCATCCATATTCTCTGTTCTCTTGGTTTCCTTTGGTTCTTATGGAATTCTTCTATATATTTAAGACGAAATTCACGTGGGAGGCACTTCCTAGGGCTGAATTCGTGTGTGGGTCTACAATTTGAGGTAAGGGGAGACTCTACCCTATCTCATTGTGTTTTGATTACCAATTATCTTGCTAAATGTTTCAATGTGACTGAGATAGAGGGTAAGAAATGTGTGTTGATAGAAATTATTATATGTTTGAATGGAATGTGATGTGTGATGAGATGGTTGAACCCATTGTGGGTGATAGTGTATTGTGACATGCCATTAGTTAATGATTTAGTAATATGAATTAAGTGTGGTGAAGTCTAATGAGGATTAAATGCTTAGGTGTGATGTGGGTGAATGTTGGCATATGTGCCATGTAATGTGAATAAATGTGGGCCTGTGTGCCTGTGTGCCGTGTACGAATATGAATATCGTATGCAATTGAAATGTGTGTGAATGAGGCATAATAAATGCAGTTGTGAATGTGCTATGAATGGTTCAGAGATACACTGAAAGTATGAAAGATGGGGACAGTAGAAATACCTCAGAGAAGAGAGAGTGATGGTGACACCAACAGTGAGTGTGGATGCACAACAGGCTACACACTCTCCTTCTGACTAGACCTCTGACCAACACCTTTGCCGAGCGACTTATGACCACATATGTGGTATCCGTGATGCGGGGGTAACCGACGACCATCCATGGTGTGAATCTGTGATCGTAGCTATGTGCAGTAAGTGCACATATGTGTATGAAATGTTATTAGTGCAGCGAGGGCACCGATTGTGAATTGAAATGAATTGCTTGAAGCTGTTGCTTATGATTGACTATAATTAGATAGAATATGTGAGAAATACATGTTGAGTATGTAAGGCGAGTCTCTATGCTTGTATGTGTTGGATAGTGCAGAGTACTCACCCTTTCATTTATTTTTCAGGTAACCAAGACGATCAGAACTGGGCTCTGTGAAGGGATTGATGAAACTGCTATAGGACTGAGATTTTATTTTAAAATTTTAATGTAATTGGATTAGTTTTATAGTAGTTATTGATATAAATTTGTAATCTCTTATTATTTTGAAATTCTTTGATAAAACTTTGTGTTGGAAAATTATTCTTAAATGAAAATTTTATTCTTCCCATTTTGCAAAATTTATTATTTTAAAATTAAATTAAGGTGTTACAAATTTTGAGTCATGCTCGTTTGATTGACTTGTGACAATCAGAAATAATGCCAACGCCATTTTTAGTAACGACATAGTTTCGTAAATTTTCAAGGAAGAATGCCAAGCCTGATGTCTCACCCTCAGTAACAACGAAGGCAATCAACAATATATTCTGATTTTCATATTGTACAATTGCTACTAATAGAACTCCCTTGTATTTGCTAAATGTGTCCCATCAACTTGCACAAGTGGCTTGCAATGTCGAAAAGCTTTAATGCAAGGAACAAAACTCCAAAACACTCAACGTAACATTTGAACATTGGGAACCAATTCATTATTGTGATAACCCTTTGCAGCATCTAATTATACAACAAATCCTCAATAGCATCATACATTGCCACGAACCATTGCGGAAAAGTTTCAAATGACGCTTCCCATTGACCAAATACTTTTTAAATTACCTTTTGTTTTGCCAACCTATTGTCCGATAAGTTATCATGTACCTAAATCGAGACTGAATCTCCTCAATCACTAGTTTTATTCTAAAAGAATGATCAAATTTTACCACTGACTTCATACATTATGTAATTATGTTCATATCCAACTTTCTGTAATCTTAAGAAATCATTCTAATAGTAAAAGTATGTGAATCGTTATATTTTTTATTTTAAAAAAAAACTCATTCTTCTTGAAACTAGCTCAAAAAATCCACTTATAATTTATGCCATACTTTATATATTTGCAATAAAATATATTTGGTTCTAACTCAAATGCTTTTTAGTCCACTCCTTTGGATATACTGTAATGCTTTATTATTTGTGTTTTAAGCTTTTTTGTCATTAAATTGTCTTTCAACATATAATTTACCATCTATCTCAATGTTACCTACCAATAGCGAACATAAATTAATTAACAGAACTATAATTATATTCACTGACGTAATTAAAAATTTCACATACTTAAGTTTGTATAATTTGGAAACTCAGAAGCATTCATAGCATTAAGATCTAAGTCATGCATGAAGGATGACTTTCTTAATAAATGTTGCCTAACCAGATGGGGCTTCTCATCATCATCAAAATCCTCATCACTTTGATATTCTCCTTCAAAGTCATTGTCATCACTTTCACGGTTATTGTGTTCCTATTCTATCTATGTGTCTAGCATGATGCTCGCATATTCTTCATGAATCTCGTTATTTTTTTAAAACAATATACAACTTCATAGTACCACTTAGAGAATGACGTTGCTAATATATCTTGTTGAAAGAGAAAATATTGAATATGTGTGTTTTAGGAAACATCACAGTTACTATATTTACAAGATTCTAATAAATTCTAATATAGTAGTAGATATATCTGCTAGTTGGTCATGCGAAATGACAAAATTAGTAGATAAAACTAATGACAAACATAAGCGTAGAGAAGAAGAGTTCGGGTGGTCTCAAATAGATGCCTATTTTTGCGTTCTACAATTCCATTCTATTAGGGGTATGAGGACAAGATGTTTGATGTAATAGACCATGTGATAACATAAAGGTCTGAAACTGAGTAGATAGGTATTCACGTGCATTATCACTTTGATCAAGTACAACGGGAAAAATCGTCTATAAAAGTAACAAAATATCTAGACCCATATAGAGGAAATACAACTTGGATCCTAAACATTTGAATGAATTAAAATAAAAGGGGACGAAGGCTGACTCATAGTGTGACTAGAAAAAGAATTATGAACATGTTTGCCTAATTGACATGACTCACAAGACAAAGACTCTAACTTAGAAAGACTAGGGTATAGTTGTTTCGACTTATCAAGACCTGAATGTCCTAATCGAACATGAATCAGAAGTGGAAACGTTGCTGCTGAACCAATAAGAGAGGACTTGTTGAGCTGATAGAGGCCATGGGACTCACATCTAGAGCCAATCGTCCTTCCCGTACTCTGGTCCTGCAAGGAAATAGAATTTTTGGTAAAAGAGATGACACAATCAAGAGATCGAGTAAGTTGACTAATGGACCATAAATTAAAGGGAGCCCCGGGGACATAAAGAACATTGTTAATAGAAAGAGAAGGAAGAGGATGAACAACACCAACACCTTGAGACTGAGTTTGAGAGCCATTTTCCATGATAACAGAAGGTAAATAACCAGAAGTAGAAAGAGAAGAAAAAAGGGATTTATTACCAGTGATGTGATCAGTGGCCCCAGAGTCAAGGACCCAAGGACCTGAAGAGTGAGAGAGACCAACGAAGGAATTACCAGTGTGTGCAACAGCAGCAGTGGAACTGGAGGCCTGAAGATCGTCATACCATTTCAGGAAATCGTCATAGGAAGGTGATGGATGTGGATCCGGAGCAAACGGCAGAGCAAAAGTGGATGAAGGAGACACAGAACTTTGGGCCACTTGGGAAGTGCGAGGAGGTCGACCATGTAAAATCCAACACTTATCAATTGTGTGTCCCGATTGGTGGCAATGATCACACTAGGGACGTCCTTTGCTGCCCTTGCGCTATGGAGGTCGGTTAGTGTTGCGAGAAACCAAAGCCGAAGAGTCAATAAGAGTCGGAAGCAAAGGCTCAGCGAAGGATTTGGGGGGCACACGAAAGAGGGTCGCTCAGGTACTATCCATAGTAGCTTCTATGAGACTCCCCAAGATTTGATCAAGAACATAAGAATATTCTGGGGGCAAACCGTATAGAGCTAAGGACATGAAAAACTTATTACGATTGTCAAGTTCTGCATTTGGAGTGGCAACGGGAGGAAGCAATTCGTTGAACTCACAAAGAAGGCTAGATACCGAGCCAAGATAGGTCGACATAGATCCTTAATCCGATGGGCACTAAGGACAGTCGGTCTTCACAAACTTGGTAGAGTTACCAAGAATTATTTGTAAAGAGTTGTTGAGCTTGTGTCCAAACAGCTTTGCAGGTTTTGTGAGTGCGAAAGACATCACAAAGAGATAGGTGAATGGTGACTCGGATGATACAGCATAGCTTAGCGTCAACCTTTTTCCACAGAGGACGGTCGGCCTCCGAGACATTGTTTGTTGTTTGGGTGAGATGTATCTCATAATCCTGACCAACAAGCTAAAGTTCAATGTGAGAAGCTTAGAAGGAGTAGTGCTTACTATCTAACTGCTCAGAAGAGAGAGGTGGAGTGACATGGTTGGTAAAAATCTGGTTGTCGACTTTTGGAGTACTGGAGGCAGCCATCGGTCAACGAGAAGAGAGAGAAAATGCCCAAACAACAATAAAAAAAGGGCAAAACAAGGGCAAATAGATGTCAAAACAACTAACCGAGATCGGATACAGGTAAAGAAGAAAGGGACGACCAAACCCTAGTCAACGGCAGGGAAGGACGCCAAACGCACTGTCACGCGTGGAGAAAGAAGGTGGCGCGTGAGGGCACCAATGAAGGCGCGGTCAGCGGGGTTTGGCCGATCTAACAACGGCGGGGTTTCCATAGTGATCGGAGGTCAGACGGCGACAACACTGAAACAGTGGCAGGCGGTGGCAGAAGCACCAGAGGAAAAGGGCACCGGTGAACAGTGGGTCCACCGGGAAAAAATTTGATTAGGGTTGCCTCTCTAGGCTCTCGATACCAATTTTTAAAGAAGAGCACATAATTTGAAAATATACAGTTACTATATTTACAAGTTTCTAATAGATTCAAACATATCTAAAATATTTGTTGAACATCATAATTGTTAGCTATTGGAATTATATGATATTGTATAAAATTGTCAAATATCGAGACTAGACATTAATACATAAAATTTTTCACTATTTTTAGAAACGAAACTTCAATACATTGAGAAAGCTAATATTTTAAATCTCAAAATGATACATCATATGAAATATAGGGATATGTTGGCTTCTTGCATGTAAATGTCACACCTTCACTCGTATTTGCTATAATCTTACTATTAAAATAAACTATAATTGACGCATTCATTTTTTTTTTCTAACAAACATAAGATTCAGAGACATAAGACTAAGAAATACTTCAAAATCTTTTATGAGTGACTTGCTATCAACAAGGATTGCGATATTTATAACCTCGCTAATTAAAAATTATTATTAATATTTTTTTGCTAAGCAATATTTTTTAAAATAAATTTATGAGTCAAAGGTCATTGATGACAACTTTTAAAAATTTTTTTTAACGTTAATATGTTATTAATGGTAATAAACATAATTAAATAATATTATGTAGATATATTATATATATAATTATATATTTAATATAAACTTCAAATACTGAAAATTTAAAAGTTAGAATGACATTTATAAAATTAAAAATGATATTAATCTTTTTTAAAATAATAACAATAACATAAATCAATGGCAGGAACTAGAAGCTTGAGCGATGTTTGGACATGTCTTCTTTGTGTAACTAGGGGTGTGACAATAAGAACATTTTTTTTGTCTAACTTTGTTGTTCTCTAATGTTTAGGGTTTAGGATTTGGACTTGGGTCGACCCTTTTCAGTTCTTTTTAGTTTTGGATTTGGACACAAAGTTGGACGTGTGTAAGTTGACCAATAGTCTTCGTATCTGAGTTCTCCAAAGTGACTTTCATATACCTTAGAAACTTGTTGTAAGGTATACACCGGAGATATGTAGATGTCAAAGTTGTGATGACTTTATGAATGTTCATCTTTGACTGTGCATCTTGAATTGCCTTAGTTGTAACCTCTGAGTACATATGTTCAGCATTAATCATTGCATCTACTTCCCTGCCTATGTCAATGAAGAACTTATTGCAACGGGTGTATGTTGCCATGACTATGGAGCAAATTGGTAGGTTTCTGATTTTCTTCAAGACTGAATGATTGACTCTGCTAGGTTTGTTGTCATGTGTCCCTAGCGTGGTCCGTTGTCCCATGCTAATGTCCATTTTTCCCTTAAGATGTTGTCCAACCATTGTGCAACTTCAAGTTTATTATCTTTTACTATGTTGTAATAGTAAAAGAATCTCGGTTCAATCATCCCATATGCTGGAAATAAGATTACAAATTAAATTAATATAACTAGCTAAGCAATTATATAAAATATTAATAATAATATAGAGTACATAAAAAAAATTAAAATTACCCATATTGACGACATCTTTCTTCAGTGCAGCGTTTTTGAATCGTCACATGAAGTTTTGTGCAATATGTCTAATGCAATAGACATGGATAGAATTATTTTTTGTCCAACCACTTCCATTTTTGGAGTATGCACTTCTTATGCCCTCGTGACGATCCAAAATGAGGCACAACCCCTCTTGCGGGGTTACGTACCTCCTTAAGTTTTTTTAAAAAAAGAACCATGCATCGTTAGTTTCACCTTCAACCACAGCAAAGGCAATGAAAATTATGTTGTTGCAGCTGTCTTGCGCAATTGCCACTAATAAAGTCTCTTTGTATTTGCCATACAAAAATTTTCCATTCACTTGAATAATTGATTTGCAGAAGGCAAAATTATCAATGTATGGCTTGAAGGTCCAAAACAACCTCTTAAAGAACATATTCCCCTTGTCAAGCAAACCACCCCTTGTATGCCGGTTGTGTACTCAATTTCCAGATGAAGCCTGAAACATATAGTTGCATTGCAAGCAACTGTCTAGGTAACTTATAGTATGACTCATCCCAATTTTTGAAGATATTTTCAATGATATGTTATTTTCCCAACCATTCATTTCTATAGATGATTGTGCAACCCATTGTGGACTTTATGTGGGCTAAGATGGTGCGATGGGTGTGGATGAATCAGTCTTAATAATTTCATGAATGATTTGAGAAATCATTTGTGATCCCAACTTCTTATGATCCTGTGAAATGAGTGTGGAAGCATGATGATACGATTTTCGTTTGCAAAAAGATTTGTCGCCAATCTCATCAAAATATGCAAAATTTTTATGTAGTCTATGATGCAAGCCTCAGTTGTCTTCAATGACTTTGGTTGGTAACTTACATTGAATATGTTGTAAACATTTACTATGAAAGCAATTAAAAAGAGGGTTTTTGTGTTATTCCAATTTTAATGTAAAGGTAAGTGATAAAATCAATGAGTTCAATCAATGAAATGTAGTAATCCTTAGTTCATTCATGTGATTCTATCCCTATTCCTCTCAAGATTCAATATTTTTCCTCTTCCTCTGACTTAGGTTAACTCAACAAGCGAGAATTAACCTTAAAACCAAGTTAAGAATTTCATTAAAATAAATTAGGGTTAATTAAGTAATGTCTCCCTCATTCAACCATTAATTCAATTCAAAGAGTTGAAAAATATAAATTCATAAAGGAAAGGGAATTATATTGACATTCATACCCAGGAATTCAAGAATTCATGAACTCATTAAGGATTACAAGAAAGTTTAATCCTCTATGAGGATGAGTCTTATAAATTTAAGATGAAAACAAAGGGAAATCAATGACACCAATGTAAAAATTAAAGAAAAGTGAAGAATAAATGTGAATCAAATCCTAGGATTGGTCCTTGGCTATCACCCAAGGATGACCTAAGTTCTGAAAGTGTTCCCCAAAATGGAAAAAGAAGCTAAAAGTGTGTAAAAGCTCCGTACCCTAATTTCTAAAGTTCTATTTATATTGCACAGATTTTCGCCCATAGTAGTTACTATGGTTCATAGTGATGACGCGCAACACTCCCATAGTTGCTACTATAGTTTAATAGTGATTACGCACAGATCACCATGCTGTTGACCCTCTCTGAAGTGTCTACTATGAGTCATAGTAGTTACACGCAGATCTGGGTGACTTTGACCTTCTCTGAAGTGTTCACTTTGGAATCAGAGTGATCACTTTGGTCTACCCTAGAGTGTCTACTATAGGTCATAGTAGTTACGCGCATCACCTCTTCATATTGGAGTCTCTGTAGTGTCGACTATGGAATCAGAGTGATCACTTTGGTCTGTCCTTCTAGATCTAGCTTGCTGTAGTGTTCACTATGGAATCCAAAGTATTCACTTTCAACTTAAACTTTCTCGAATGCTAAAAATCCATGAAATAAGTCTAAAAATCCCTGCACAATTATTCAAATGGTCAAAATTATAAATTATATTTATGTAAATCAATATAAATTGACCAAAAATTAAGAAACCTATGATATTTGACCAAAATAATGTTTCTATGTTATTTACACTCTCTAAGTCTACTTTTTCTATTAAAGAACACTGAAAAGACAAGTAAAAATCCAATAAAATGTGGATTCATCAAAGCACGTGTCTAGCATCCTTTAAGCTTTATTATTTCCCAGTGTTGCTCTTTAGTGCGCAATATAGCGCCACATCTCTAGGCACAGTCGTTGTGAATGCATTCCACGACAAGCCTAGTTGTACTTTACATCTTCACCTTGTAAGTACAATGATTGACAATGTGAAATTTATTTATGGCGTCTTGCACTTGTTCTTTTGTTAGGAAGCGCTGACCAACAAATAGTATTCTAGGCGGATACACTACCATTTCATGATCAAGGACATGGCCAAACTCAGGGTCATGTTCTTGTATTTGACTAGAAAAGTCTAGAAAATATGGAGCTGGGTTTTATAATGGTAATGATTGTGATGGTGGAATATTTGGAAGTGGGAGGGAGTCTTCTTCATCATCCTATTGTTGAGATAGGATTTTATTTTTGTCCTCCCTAGAAGGATCAAATACTTCGATTGGGAGACACACAACAGCGTGTTCTTCAACGAGGTTTCTTCAAGAGGCTGAGCGGGTAAGGTTTGCTCAAATGGTTGGAGGGTATTTCATTGTGACCCATAAATGGACCGGTTAAAAATTGTGTGTAGGACTGAAGGTCAAAATTCATATCATATGTTGGAAAAGATAGATTTATGGTTTCGTAAGTTTGGTAAAGTGAAGATGAAGGTAAACGTTGTGGTGGCTGGGTTAAATTTGTAGCAAATGTAACATATAATTCTACACCTGATTGAAGTTGATGCCTGACAAAACAGGTAACAAAGTACATCTTATGTATTTAGCTTTATTAACTAATCTTAGAAGAACAAGACGATATAGTTGGGGTTCTGCTTATTTAGCTATACTGTAAAAGAAAATGTGCAGAGCCACAGAAGTTGGTAGCAAAATAATGAGTGGTTGCTCATCACTGTTAATGTCCTGGGCATAGTATCGCATGTCATATATTGCGCCAATTTCTAGTAATCCACCAACATACCCTATCATGTGCAGATGAAGCGAGGGTAGAGTATTAAACTTTCAAAATAAACCGCATAATGATGTTGTGGAGTGCATATCAATGTTTGATCACATTCAAGCCAATCAGGTAACTCTTCATATTTATTTTCTTATCTTTTACACATAATCTTAAGTAACAAAGTTAAATTTATTTGTAATTTTTATGGGCACCATATCAAGGCTTGCAAACATCAATACCTATGAAAACATATAGAGATGTCCAACTGTGAACTTCATGTACCGCCATCCTTTATTTTGCAATTGTTGAATGGCACCAAACAGATAGAGTCAAATTACAGTTTCGTCTCTTCTAATAAGTTTCTTCTCTATCAAATAATTTGAATGACCTCCACAAAATTGACATGAGAGGAAGACAGGATGAAAATTAGGTTACAAGAAATGTTCAATGGATCGAGATATAGAACAATAGACGTGAGTTGACAATAACGGGTCATCTAATGCAAGGCCCGTTGTGTCACACATAAGAATACATGAAATGGTACATTGCCAATATCATCTATATCATATATGTGCCACCACTACTACAAGATTCAAGGAGAAGAGACCAACAACTAAGGACTATCAACACATTTGAAATCTGTATGACTTCTACACTGTCGTACTACGAGACTGCATTAATTTCTTTGAACATTATGCTAGAAGCAAACATAATTAATACAAGACATTCGTTTGCAATAATATCAGATAATTTTTTTACAAACTTATTTGAAGTTGAATTTACAACTCTATCTTCAGCACAAACTTACATGTAGTCTCTTTACCAACCATATTTTGCTAATGAACCTGGTAATTCATCAAATGCATTCCAATAACTAGACCTTCATGATGATCCAAATCCTCCACAAGTTCATTCTGAAATCTCAAAGCAACAATTACGGAGATAGTTAATTATTAATATTGTTATGAATTTGTTATCATCTTTGTTAATGTACTTTGTCTTCATCAATGTTATCTTAGTAATATGAAAACGTTAATTTTAAAATATTTGTCTCAAGTATAAATAATTAACTTATAATTTAATATTTTATTTACTTTTTAAAAATAAATTTTTTATTCTCAAATAAAATTTATTAAAAATTATAATAGTAAAGTTTTAAGATTTAGGATATTAAAAATTATAATATTAAATAATGTCATTTAAAAAAAAACTAATTTAATTAAAATAAATTTTTTATTCAAAATATCATTTTATCATACTAATATTTAAAAATATTAAGTCAAAATTACATATTTAAATAAATAAATAAACAAAATAATATTTAATATTTTTATTTAATTTTTAAAATATAATTATTATTCTTTAAGTATAAAAATTTAAACATTAACATTATTATCTAAAATAATATACTTATTATTTAAAAATTTTAATTATTTTTAAAAAATATAATAATAATTATTTTCTAAAAATATTATTTATTATCTTAATTATGTAAAATAAATTTTAATAAACATGTTAAATAAATATTATTATTATTTTTATTCATTTTAAAATAATATAAAAATATAAACATAATTCAAATAATAAAATTTAGTTTATTATATATAATTAACAAAATATTTATAAATATTTATTAAAATAAAATATTATAAATATTTATTTTAACAAAATATAAATTAATTTAAATAATAATATTTATTTTATTATATAAAAATATAAAAATAATTTTAAAAATAAAAAAAAAGAGGCAGAATTCAGTTACCTGAAATCAAATTCTAAATTGCAAATTTTTGCTACAGTGTTTGAGTCTACTTCGATAAATAAAATGTGAATGAATTTATTTAAGTATTTTTTATTTTTTTAATAATTTTTCTGTAAAAATTTCGTCAATGTGTTCCTTCTCATTCGCTTAGCTGTGTCACCTTCCACGCTTCCAAATCACCACGGAGTGTTTCCTCCTTTCGTCATATGTTTTTACACTCTTGAATTCACCCTTAAACACCGCTCAGATGTTGAGTTCCCAACGCTTAAAATCCTTTCTCTTTCTGAAGGAACTCACAAGAGCACATTTTCCAATCCCAAAAGCGATTCCGTTTGCATCAACACTCTCTTTGAAATACAGCTCCATCACTTCAGAGCAACACTCGTTCACCGTTTCATACCTCATTAACAATTGTGCCTTCTCACCAGAAACTGCTCTCAAGGCTTCCAAGCTTGTTCGATTCGAGAACGCTGAAAAGCCCGATTCAGTAATCGCCTTCTTCAGAAACAACGGATTCACTAACGCTCAGATAAATAGCATCATAAGAAACGGACCAAACGTGCTAACATGCAACCTCCACAAAAGGGTTTTGCCAAAGTTTGAATTTTTACGCTCCAAAAGTGCTTCCAACTCTGACATCGTTGATCTTGTGAATAGCAACCCCAGAATCCTATACGCAAGCCTCGAGAACAGCATAATCCCTGCCTTTGAATCGGTGAGAAGGTTCCTTCCATCTGATAAGAAAACTATTGATTGTATAATCGCTTGTCGACATTTCTTTGGTCATGATCTTGTTGTAAAAAATGTGAGATTGTTACTTGATGATGGAATCAAGGACTCCAACATCACCTATGTGTTATGCAGAAGACCTTCTATTATATTGTCTCGTTATATGAGGAAGGACGTGGATGAAGTTAAAGAAATGGGATTTGATCCTTCCGAGTTAAATTTTGCAATAGCATTGCAGGTCAAAAGGGGTGTTTCAAAATCCCGGTGGGATGCAAAAGTTGAGGCCTTTAAGGGATGGGGATGGACTGAAGAAATGGTTCTTAATGCGTTTAGGAAGCGGCCCCTTTGTATGTTAGCATCCAAAGATAAGATCAATGAGGTGATGAAATTTTGGGTCAATGAGTTAGGTTGGAACCCTTTGGTCCTTGTTGAAAGATCAGAGATTTTTGGATATAGTTTGGAGAAAAGGATCATTCCCAGGGGTTTAGTTTTTCAGTATTTGCTTGCGAATGGTTTGATAAAAAGGAATGCCAGCTTGTCTACTCTATTTGCTATGTCTGAAAAGATGTTTCTTGAGAAGTATGTGAAATGTTTTAGGGAGGAAAAGTGTCAACTTTTAAAGTTGTACCAGGAAAAAAGAATGGTTACAGTGTTTGAGAGAAAGGAGGATGGCGCAGCATCTGGCAGTTATGAAGGGGTTAACTTATGAGTACAAATTTCTCTAATTCATGCTTGCTATGTTCCATTAACCCTGTCTGAACTCAACTGATTTAACTGAATTGTTTCATTTTGATCTGTTGGAACCCTTATTGGTTATTGCATTCTTTAATTCCCAATGGTATTGTGATGTATGTCAAGTCAACTATTCGATGGTTTATATTCAAATGAATGAAGCATGAGAACAAATTTGTTGATATCAAATGCTTATTTGTAACACTGCTTGCTGTTGTTGCCTGCGTAAGAATATGTATTCACCATCCTTGTGTTTGGAGGATCTTTTACTTATTAGTCCTAGTAAATCTCAACTTTTGGGTTAGGCTCGTGACTTAATATATTTTTTGGGTTTTCCGTCATTTGGATTATATATAAAGGAAGATAGGTGGAGATATGAAAGCTGCTTTAACTTTTGTGGGTTTTAAAAATATCAAGATCCATGTTTCATTTATTTCTTGTCACTAGAATGCCAAGTGAAGACTAAGTTTGACTGATCAAACAGGTGTTTCTCAGATTGTTAGCTGGTGCAATAGCTTTCGAATACATCATTATAGGTTAGGTGTAACTATTTAATTTTGTCGTTTGTATGTGTCACTTGAGATTTGTGGCTAAGAGGATATTAATCTATTAATCAAGGCTCAGTAGGTTACTTCCTACTTCAGTTTTGTTTTTTCTTCAACAGATTTAATCAAGAAAAAAACTTAGTTGGCTCACTGTGCTTCTTCCTCTTAAAATGAAGCTTTCACCTCCAAGAGAAAAGCTTCTGTTGCATAGGGGTGTGCAAAAACACTGTTTGAAACCGGACTAATTCATGAACCAAACCAAATCGCTCTTAAAATATCCAAACCATTTGAATTCATTTCTTAAACTGAACTGCTTTTTTTTCCCCCATCAATTGGTTCAGTTAACTATTGTTAAAAATAATTTGGATCAGCTAAATTATATCTTTTTCTTTTATACCACTCATCAACATTGTGTCATGATCACGGTCTTGTCTTCATTACAAAACCTAAATCCACAGCCCCCTTTCTGCCACCATTAAACATTTAAACCCCAAATTCAAATGATCCGTTTGGATCTCACTACATTGACGATTCTGTGCGGAATTTATACTAATGATTCTTACTCAATCAAACGACTCTACTTTGGTTGGAAATGTCGTTGTGTGTGGATTCTCCCTTGGAGGTGTGCACTTAGTTGACGAGTTCACAATCTTCATTTCTTGAACGCTGTACACATTGAAGGTAAGGACATGGCCAGAGTTCTTCGTTTCAGCACTGATAATTTAATTTTTATAAAGATTTTTGTAGGTATTTACTTTTGAGTAGATTATAGGCTAGTTTCACCTCACTTTCTATGCAAATAAAGTTGATTTGAGATCAATCTTGGATTGTGTTCATGGATCTTCTCATCCTCATTGATGTTGATATTCCTTTTTTTATTAACCAAAACCGCTTTCGAAAACCAATATTAGAAATAATTTCTACCATCAAATTAGACAAGCTTTAATGGTTGTAGTGTTAACTTTAAAGCTATGAGATTTTGAAATTAATTTTTTATATTATGACAATGTCTAATCCTTTCTTTCTGAATTTCAGTCAGAAGCTGGGAGAAGCTGACATTGATCCTTGTCATTAAAATTATGATTTTACTGGTAAATATGTTAAATTATGTTTTTCCCCTTTTTACTTCTATCATAAAAAATAATCAATCATTTTTTATTTCACTCTCTATTTTGTATCTTTTTTTTTACATTAAAAAAATATTGAAATGTTTCATTTACTCAAACTTTTGATTTTCTTTTTAGGTTTTACGCTAATAAATATTTTTTTACGTATATTTCTAAGTAATTTTTGAACTCTCCCGATAAAATACTATTGAAAAATGCATGAGTTCTACCTTTTTTTAAGTATATTTTTCAGTTATATAAGGATCCGATGATCATTTTAATCTTTTCATACTTAAACACACGTTAGTTGGAAATCACTACAGAGGATCTCAACCACTGAAATTAATAATTTTTATTTAAAAATTAGTAAATATAAAAATTGACGGTTATGATTAAAACTGGATTTGGTGTAGTGAAAAACATATTCCACGTAATTTGTATTTTTAAAACTTGTGAAGCTTGTAATTTTAGATACATGAAATTATAAAGATTAGTCTTCTCTTATAGGAGTATTTGTCAACAAAAACACACTCCTTCCTTTACTTCACATGCCATGATTTCATATTTGAAGTATTATCCATCTCTTTTCTGCATAGCATATTAACTTTGTTTTTATTCATTTATTTAAGAACAAATAAAGCAAACTAAAACATTAATTATTTTATTAAAAATATTCAATAAAATTTCTAATTTTTTTTACTAGTGAGTTTGTTCCACGTTTAAACAATTAATTAGTGTAAATATTTTATTTAGTGTCTTTAAAACTTCTACTTGAGTAAAATAATATTAGATAAAAAATAACATTCATTATTGTGTTTCACTTTTAGCAACGTAGATAAATAAATAAGAACACTTTTTTTTAATCTCTGGATATATAAATAAAAACAGAAGTAATACTTCATTTATTTATTGTTGTTATTGTTTCTTCTTTTTTAAAATTGAAATTCTACAAAAGTGCTTTACAGTGAAATTATGGATTTTTTTAATTATTTTTTTATTTTTTATTTAATTTAACAAAAAAATTAAAATAAAGTTATTAAAAATTTTAATATTTAACTGAGATTAATGACATTGGGTGAGTCTTGCGGTTAACTTTGTTCAATAAAGTAAGACTTGATTGTTCTTATTATAAATATTATTTATTTTAATTTTTATACAAAACGACAATAAAGCATAAAATAATTATAATGCAAGGTTGTTTTTTGTTTTTGAATATGATTAAAATATCTTGTCCTATACAATTATTACTGTGATTGTATACTCAAATTTCGCATTTAAGTTTTAAATTATTTCTGTGATTAGTGTAGACTTACTTTTGAATTGTACTGAGAGTACAATTTACACTAAACACATAAATATATTGTTTTAATCAACAATCGCAATTTCGATGTCGCACCTATTTCCGAAGAAAGGCCCAATTTTGGGTAATTTAGGTATACTCCCAGTCATCCTCTGTTGGGGTCACCTAGGGTTTTGACAGCAAGGCAAGCTCGGAAGCTCCTTTTCAATGCGTGCTTCAACCCTTTGGAATCATAGAACTCTTCCGTTAACGCCGCTCAGATGTTGAGTTCCCAACGCTTTAAAACCCATCTTCTCTACTTGAAGGGACTCATAAGAGCACCGTTTCCAACCCCAAAAGCGAATCCATTTGCATTAACACTCTCTTTGAAATACAGCTCCATCACTTCAGAGCAACACTCATTCACCGTTTCATACCTCATTAACAATTGCGCCTTCTCGCCAGAAACTGCTCTCAAGGCTTCCAAGCTTGTTCGATTTGAGACCGCCGAAAAGCCCGATTCAGTAATCGCCTTCTTCAGAAACAACGGATTCTCCCACTCTCAGATAAATAACATTGTTAGAAGAGTACCCAATTTGCTTACATGCAACCCCCACAAAAGGGTTTTTCCAAAGTTTGAATTTTTAACCTCCAACGGTCTTCCCAAATCTGACATTGTTCGACTGGTGACTGGGTGCCCTGGATTCCTATCTTCAAGCCTCGAAAATTGCATAGTCCCTTCATACAAATTGGTGAGAAGGTTCCTTCAATCTGATAAGGAAGTTATTGGTCGTATACTCGCTGGTAGAAATTTCCTATCTTATAAACTTGCCAAACAAAATGTGAGATTGTTGCTTGAAGATGGAGGAGTCTCTGACTCCAACATCACCTATTTGTTACGAAGAAGACCTACTATTCTCTTGACCGGTGACATGAGGAGGGCCTTGGATGAAGTTAAGGAAATGGGGTTTGATCCCTCTAAGTTAAGCTTTGGAATGGCATTGCTTGCCAAAAAGGGGATTTCCAAATCTAGGTGGGATGCAAAAGTTGATGCCTTTAAGAGCTGGGGTTGGTCTGAAGAATTGGTTCTTTCTGCGTTTAAGCAGGCACCCATGGTTATGTTAACATCGAAGGATAAGATTAATGAGGTGATGAAATTTTGGGTCAATCAATTAGGTTGGAACTCTTTGGCCCTTGCCAAAGGGCCTGTAGTTTTTGGATATAATTTAGGGAAAAGAATTGTTCCGAGGGGTTTGGTTGTGCAGCATCTGATTGCAAAAGGTTTGAGAAAAAAGAATGCCAGCTTGTTTGTCCCATTTATTATTCCTGAAAACCTGTTTTTTGAAAAGTTTGTGAAATGTTTTGAGGAGGAAAGTCATCAATTATTAAAGCTATACCAAGAATCGATGGGTGTTTAAGAAAATCTGGGAGGATGGTTTAGTATCTGCTGTGATTAACTTATGAGTACCAATTTCTTGTGATTTCTCCATCCCATTCAAACTGGGACTGATTTAACTAAATTGTTTCATTTTGATGGGTCGGGACTCGGAACCATTATTGTTTGTTGCATTCGTCAATTCTCATTATAGTTGTGATGAATGTCAACTACTGGATGCTTCATAAATGATTGAAGCAAGATTACAAATTCTTTAATATCCAATGATTATTTGTAACGTAGCTGGTGCGGGCATGCTGATATTGTTGCCTTCGTAAGCATATGTATTCAAACATCCCTGTATTTTGAATATGCATGAAGAGGGTCTTTTAGCTTTTAGTAGTAGTACCAGAAAATCTCACTTTTTTGGTTTTGCTTTGATCTCGAAATATTTTGAAGGGATTTTGGTCATTGAGATTAGAAAGGGACTGTGGCTGCTGTCCTGTGACCCCTACAAAAGGGTCTTGGTTTGAATTTTCTCCGAAAAGGTGCTTCTGGCTCGGAAATAGTTGACCTAGGGAGTAAGTAACCAGAACTCCAGAAGTATTGGCTCCAAGACTGGGGAATCATATAGTCCCAAACTACGAGTTGGTCCAAACCCCAAGGCTGATTCCCATTGGTGTAGTTTCCTCTCAGCTCTCAACGTCGCGTCCTCTCCCTATTCATATCCCATTGGTTCCACTCAATTTTCACTCACAGTAATCGTCTCTCCCTGTAATGCTATAACTGTCTCCTTGTACTGCTACTCCACTTGTCTCTGTTTTTCCCCGTCTGGTATATATTTTCCATAGCTTCCCCTCAACATCATAACTCTTCAATATAATAATGACATATAATAATATAAAAGTACATGCTTGCCACTCTGTAAAATATAAATAACATTTTATTTTCTCTTTAAATTGATGATGTGATTGTTTTAGTATTTTAAAAATTAAAAAATATTTACGACTGATTATTAACTTTCACTATTTATTATACATATTTAATATAATATTAATAATTATTTTATGTATGAAGGGCATAAAATATTCTCTTAATTTTTAAAATATCATAAAAATTACCATAAAAGTATTGTATACAAGACAAACATGTAAAAAATTTGATAAAGGCCAATTGTAATTACTTTTATAAAATATTTAATTAGTTTTTAATTTTTTAATAAAGACAGGGTTAGATATTTTTATATTTTTAAGACATTAAAATGTATTTTATTTTTATTTAATATTTTGAATAAATATATAAAAAAATAAAATCATATTATAAAAGATATAACATTTCTCAAATGATAATATCCAAGACAATGCATTAATATCATATGAAGAAATGCTTTCTTTGCTCCGGAACATCAAGAAAAGAAAATATCCATTTATTGATTCCAAAATGTAAAGTTGAGCCACTGAAGTGCAGGCCCATAAACATTGTAGAAATATTGACAAAAGATTAAAAGAAATATATTAAATTGAAAGGAGTCAATCAAAGATGATAATGAGAGTTAAATTTAATTGCCTTAAAAAAGTTAAATTTAATATATTTTCTTAAAAAATTATAATAAGTAAGATTTTTATCTATCAAACAATATTAAGTCTGAATCTAATTATCGATAATTATGTACAAAATTTTATAACTGTAAATTTAACTAATATCATGCCTTAATTTTATCTATATCAATATACATATTCATGATATCTTATATTCAAAATTGAAATAGTATAAACGATTTTTTAATTTAATTTAATTTAATTTAAGGTATAATTTTGGAGTGTTTTTAAGGTCAAAGTTAATCTATGTATACCTCCACTCTGATCACATATTTAAGGTTAATCAATTTAAAGTTTTTTTTTTAATTAGGGTAGGGTCGAATAAATTATTTCAGGATTGAATAAGATTTTTTCGTGAACTAAAGTTCTTTTTGACATTTCTATTAAAACTTGTAAAGCATGTAATTTTGGATACATTAATTTTATTAAAATTAGCATCTTTTAGAGGAGTGCGAGTCAACAAAAGCACACTCCTTCCTTTACTTCACATTGCATGATTTCATACATATTAACTTTGTTTTTACTCATTTATTTAAGAAAAAATTGTACAAACTACAAAATTAATTAATTTTCAAAAACTATTTAATAAATTTTCTAATTTATTTTTTATTGGTGAGTTTTTTAACGTTTAAATAAATAATTAGTATTTAGAACTTCTATTTGAGTAAAGACATATATTAGATAAAAAAAAATAACATTCAATATTGTGTTTGGCTTTTAGCCATGTGGATAAATAAATTAGAACACATTTTTTTTCCTATCTCTAGATAAATAAATAAAAAGGAAGTAGTACTTCATTTATTTATTTATTGATGTTGTTATTGCTTCTTCTTTTTTAAATTGAAATTTTATGGAAGTCTTTAAAGTGAAATCATGGATATATATTTTTTAAATTATTAATTTTTTATTTTATTATACAAAAAATTTTAAATTAAGTTATTAAATGAAAATTTTTGATTAATTAGATTTTTAAAAATTTAATTTTTTATCAAAATCAATAACATAGTGTGAGTTATGTAACTTATTTAATGAAATAGGATTTGATTGTTGTTATTGTAAATTATTTTTTTTATTTTTTTTATGCAAAATGGCAATGAAATATAAAATAAACAATTGAATAAACTTTTATAAAGTCAGATTCGCAAGGTTGTTTTTTTCAATGATTATTAAGATACTTTATTCTATACAATTTTGATAAATTTTTTTTTTATGTTATGACGGTGATTGTATAAGAAAATTTCACATATGATGTAAGTTTTGAATTATTTATATTATTAGTGAAGACTTACATCTAAATTGTGCTAAGAGTACAATTTATAATAAACATATAAATATATATTTTTTAATCAACAATAATGTAAATAATTCAAAATTGACGGACTCAGAATTTTGATGTGGCACCTAGTTTGAAAAATGGTCTAATTTTGAGTAACTAAAAATTGTTTGATGGCATGAATAGAGTAAATAAGATAATATAATATATTATATGTGCTTTTAATTAAATGTTTGTTGAGTTCTTAAAATATGACTGATTATGATACTTATCTTATTGGACTAATTTATATGTTATTATAATATGATTAAGTTAAAAAAGAAAAAAATAACAAAATTATTTTCATTAAAATATTTTAAATTTATTCTCTTACCTTTTTTATTTATTTTATATATATTATTTTTTAAAAAATATTAAATTACTTTTATATATTTTTAAAATAAAAAATAAATAACTTATAAAAATAAAAAATAAAAAATTAAAATTTAATTTAATAAATATAAATAAAAGAGTAATTTCAATCAAATATGCATAAATGATTAATGTTAATCATGTCCACCAAAACAACAAAGTAATCGGATCTTAAGGATACTCTCTAGTCATTCCATATTAGTATCACTTGAGATATGTTTGAGAGAGTTTTTGAAAGAAAAATGAGAGGAAGACGGTCATGTACTTGCTTTTGACGTAGCTTTCACGAATTCTCCAAGAACATCCCTCTCTCCACTTAAGAAACACATTCCAGGGCTCTCACCCTCTTCGCCCCCCTTGCGCAGTGGCCCCTAGAAGACGATTTTCTCCAACCAGTTCATCATCTCCCTCTAATCTTGTAGATCCTTACAAAATGGACAACTCTAAAGCAGAAAAACGTTCAACTGAAGAGTTGGACCTAATGAAGTGAAGTACCAAGAAGGTCAAGTTAGATTTAGTGTCTTCCTTGGCAGATCTGCACTCTCCTATGCAAGAGAATGGTCTTGAAGGACATTCTACATCTCATGTGTTTTCTATCCCTTCTCGATCTATTACTAATGGCCCTTCTTATCATGTTTCTTCTCAGCATAAACTGGTCCTTAAAAGTAATATTCCAAAGAAAAGCTCCAAACCTAAATCCCTAATCTAAGCCTGCAAATTTGGAAAAATCAGCTTGTGAGGTACCTCAACCTAGGGATCTTCCTGACCTTTTTATAGAAAAAAATAATCACTCTAAAAATAGTATGGATATAATTGATTATCTGCTTACCATGTCTAGGATACAGAAGGAACTGCAAGATAATAATGATTATAAGACATAATTGACCTCAACCCTATCACTCAAAGAATCTCTCATGACCTATCTCTTAATAAACCTCCTTTTAGGCTCCTTGATCCTCAACTAATCCAATATAGACATAGATAAACTATCAAATAAAAACTCCAAAACCTTCAAGGATATTTACTTATTGGACAGTAGGAATAGTCCGTCCTAACATGATAAGAATATTTATCAATCATGATTTTTTTTTCTTTTATGAATTGTTTATTTTAGAATTATAAAAAGATGGAGAGAAATCTTTCGCTAGTTAATTAATAATCTTATATTAATTAATAACCTAAATTTTATTGTTCTATTTAAACCTAGAGTTAGCCTTAACAATACATTATTTATTCATTAAATTTTTATTAATATATTAATTTATATATTTTTTTAAAAAAATATTAATTTTAAATATATTTATGTAAAATATAAATTTTACGTTTCGTTTTCTCAATTTCAAAACTCGCCTTCACAAGTAACCCCCGAGACAAGCTCGGAAGCTCCTTTTCACAGCGCGCTTCAACCCTATCGAAGCATAGAACTCTTACTTTAACGCCGCTCAGATGTTGAGTTCCCAACGCTTTAAAACCCATATTATCTATCTGAAGGGACTCATAAGAGCATCGATTCCAACCCCAGAAGCCAATCCATTTGCATTAACACTCTCTTTGAAATACAGCTCCATCACTTCAGAGCGACACTCATTCACCGTTTCATACCTCATTAACAATTGCGCCTTCTCGCCAGAAACTGCTCTCAAGGCTTCCAAGCTTGTTCGATTTGAGACAGCCGAAAAGCCCGATTCAGTAATCGCCTTCTTCAGAAACAACGGATTCTCCCACTCTCAGATAAATAGCATTATTAGAAGGGCACCCAAGGTGCTTACATGCAACCCCCACAAAAGGGTTTTTCCAAAGTTTGAATTTTTAATCTCCAACGGTCTTACCAAATCTGACATTGTTCAACTGGTGACTGGGTGCCCTAGATTCCTCTCTTCAAGCCTCGAAAATTGCATAGTCCCTTCCTATGAATTGGTGAGAAGGTTCCTTCAATCTGATAAGGAAATTATTGGTTGTATACTCGCTGGTAGAAATTTCCTATCTTATAAACTTGTCGAACGAAATGTGAGATTGTTGCTTGAAGATGGAGTCTCTGACTCCAACATCACCTATTTGTTACGAAGAAGACCTACTATTCTCTTGACCGGTGACATGAGGAGGGCCTTGGATGAAGTTAAGGAAATGGGGTTTGATCCCTCTAAGGTAAGCTTTGGAATGGCATTGCATGCCAAAAAGGGGATTTCCAAATCTAGGTGGGATGCAAAAGTTGATGCCTTTAAGAGCTGGGGTTGGTCTGAAGAATTGGTTCTTTCTGCGTTTAGGCAGGCGCCCATGGTTATGTTAACATCGAAGGATAAGATTAATGAGGTGATGAAATTTTGGGTCAATCAATTAGGTTGGAACTCTTTGGCCCTTGCCCAAAGGCCTGCAATTTTTGGATATAGTTTGGGAAAAAGGATTGTTCCGAGGGGTTTGGTTGTGAAGCATCTGATTGCAAAAGGTTTGAGAAGAAAGAATGCCAGCTTGTTTAACCCATTTACTATTCCTGACAACCTGTTTCTTGAAAATTTTGTGAAATGTTTTGAGGAGGAAAGTCATCAATTATTAGAGCTATACCAGGAAAAGATGAGTGTTTAAGAAAATTTGGGAGGATGGTTCAGTATCTGGGTGTGGTTAACTTATGAGTACCAATTTCTTGTGATTCAACTTTGTTATGGTTCTCCATTCCATTCAAATACTAGTGTTAAAACTGTCTAAATTGTCACCAAACTGGGACTGATTTAACTAAATTGTTTCATGTTGATGGGTTGGAACCCTTACTGATTGATGCATTCTTTAATTTCTCATTATAGTTGTGATGTATGTCAACTGCTGGATGCTTCATAAATGATTGAAGCAAGATTACAAATTCTTTAATATCCATTGATTATTGTAACATAGCTGACGAGGGCGTACTGTTATTGTTTGGTCTTTTAGCTCTTAGTAGTAGTACTAGTAAATCTTACTTTTTTGGTTTTGCTTTGATCTTGAAATATTTTGAAGGGTGGTTGGTCATTGAGTTTAGAAAGGGACTGTAGATGCTTTCCTGTGATCCCTGCAAAAGGGTCTTGGTTTGAATTTTCTCTCAAAAGGTCTGGTTCCGAAATAGTTGACCTAGCGATTACGTACCGAGGAGTACTGGCTCCAAGACTGAAGAATCATATAGTCCCAACCTATGAGTTGGCCAAAACCCCAAGGCCGATCCCCATTAGCTTAATTTCCTCATTGCCCTCAAAGTCACGGCCTCTCCCTTTTCATTCCGCCTCCCTTCTCTACATTTCCCATGAGTTCCACTCAATTTTCACTCAGTATAACTGTTTCTCCCGGTAATGCTCCTCCGCATGTCTCTGTTTTTCCCCGTCTGGTCTATATTTTCCATATCTTGGGGCCATGGTCTAACTTTTACATGCTCACACTGTTGGGCCCTCAACATCAGCCACTACATTTGGCTCAACTGCTCAAGGGTCTCATCACTGGTCTTGTTCCTTCATCAATTTAATGCTTGTATGGTCTAGAGCACAATTAGAACTAGTTTAGCTAACTGGTTGCAAACTTTGACCACTGTTGGTGTTGATTTCATTATTTTTTTCACTACTGTGATGTATATCAGTCTTACAAATGCCTAAAACTTTGTCCGTAATAAATGTAAAGTTCAAATGATCTTGCATTGCATGTATTGGCCTAGAGTAATTTTGTGATAGTATTATTTCTCTCACTCTAGGTTAATGGACTTGTGAGTAATGGTTTTTAATTGTGGTTTTAATTGTGATTATGATTTTTGTGTAAGCCAAAATTACAGAAACTTATGGGCCCAGTATTGATAATATCATAGTCAGGTCTTATGTTGCACTCGATTTTGTCACATATTGGCTGTGGCTTGATAATTTTATCCTTTGGCTAAACTGATTTGGATCTAGTGGAATCAGGTTTGAATATCATAGGTATTTATTTGTCAAATTAACTACCATTGTCCTTGTTCTGCATTTTCTTATTGAATATGTTCCATCAAACCATGGAAATTCTTGAACAGTTTGTGATACAGACTAGGTTTCTTATTAAGAGGAATTAGAAATGAATCCCAGTTACAAAACAGACTGCAGAACTTGGAGTGTCTGCACTTCCCAATGCCATAAAAGCCCAATTTTCTCCAACAAATCACCTGACGTCTGTGTCCTTTTTTAATCACCCCTCTTATTTATAGGCAACATTCCTTATTCAAACTACCTAACCAGTTAATGGATAAATAACTAACTAACTTATTTTAACTAACTACTAATGGGGTTAACTAAGTAATCTATTTAAACAATATATTACCTAACAGATTGCTACCATGTATTTTTTGAGGAAATATTTACTTAATTGCTTCTTGGAGACTGTTCTTGTATCATGGTTAAACATGTTGTTTGAGATAAGGAAAATTTTTTAAGTTATAAAATCATATTGAAGGATCTACCTTTTGAGGAGTTTTGAGGGTCTTAAGAAGCGCCTTTGTATGCTGGAAATGGCGATTTCTGAGGAATCATGAAGAGAGCCCTCAATATTTTAAGTCCACAAAATGAGAGGCTTTCTGAGGAGCTTGTGAAGCTCTTGGACTGAGAATAGTTAAAATTGATCAAAACAAGATTGAAAGTCTTTTTAAGGTATTTTTGAGGAGTTTTTCAAAGTTCTTTACACCCAAAAAATTGCTCGAAAATAGGACTGACAAGAAATCATTTTAAGTCTATAAAATTGGATTTTGAGGCGTTTTAGGGGGTTGTCAAGTCTCTTACACCCAAAAAATTGCTAAAAAAAGGACTGACAAGAAATTATTCTAAGTCCATAAAACTAGAGTTATTTTGAGGCATTTTGGAGGGTTGTCAAGTTCCTTACACTCAAAATTACTCCAAAAATAGGACTGACAAGAAATTATTCCAAGTCCTCAAGACATGAGGGCTTTTGAGGAATTTTTTAAGGGGTTTTCAAGCACCTGATGTCCAGAATGTGTCGAAAACAGAAAGTGGTAAAAAAATATTCTAAGTTCACAAATCTGACTGAGCTCTCCAAATTTCTTCTAGAATTGTTCGAAAAACAGGAATAAGAAGTGGAAATATTCTAAGTCTACAAGATTAAGACGAGCTCTTAGACCCCTATAATTAGTCAAAAAGAGAAGTCAAGGAAAAAATATTCCAAGACCATAATGTTAAACGAGCCTCTTAGATTTTTCCCAGAATTGCTCGAAAGATAGAAAACAAAAGTTCGGATAGGATTCAAAAGCTATTGCAAGGTTCAAAAGCGATTACCAACAGTTACCAGCAGACGAAGGTTTAATAAAATGAAGAAAAATCGTGAGTAATAGTAGTTATAAAAAAAAACTTCAACTGACAGGATGATCACAAGTAATCATAGATAATGGGCATCAGCAGTTGAAGGCAATTACTAAGAAGTGTCTGCCAAAGAAGAAGAACTACGATGGTCCTCCTGCCTATAAATACTCTAAAATTTCATTTTCAAGAAGGCGACTTTTTGCACCTAGACACTGCACCTAAAATTCTTTGAAAGCTGAAACCCTGCACCGCACTAGACACCAATTACAAGGAGATATACGACTATTGTTGTTCATTACTAGGAGTCATACGTTATTTTCTTGCATATTTACCTTTCTGCATTTCAATTCCAGTTTCTTTTAGTTTGTTTGCGTTTTTGTAATTCAGTTCTTGCTCAATACGTTGTGTAAAATTTTCACATTTGATTTTGTTTTACGTATTTACTATTCACTGTTCTTGCTGAATTGTTTATTGTGCGACGTCCATTTCGTTGTTACGTTAATAACATACATAAAAGAATCCAGAGGACCTAAATTTAATCTCCAAATTGTTCTTAAATTATTTATTTATAAATTATTATTTTTTATTGTAAATACATGTATAGTGCATGGTATTTTCATAATGCAAATTGAAGGGACAAATACTGCATGGAACGCCTTTATTGTTTTAGCACACCTTTGATGTTTGATTGAAGTGAAATGAAATGAGCAATTTATTAGGATGCCTAAGTTGTAACCTACTAACCTAAATACATGTAGAGCTAATTTGATTGCATGATAACTTTTAGAGCTAATTCTGACGGATGAGCTGCTCCCTCCTCGGTTAACTACCACTACCTGGTCTTCCTTTTAATTGATAGCTTTCGCTGGAGTAGTTGCCTTCATAATGAATCCCTTGAGCTTTTACTATCTTTTTCCTTATTCTTGCTAGTCGTCGACTGTATAGTTTCCTATCTTGCTCTTGTCGAGCTCCAACCCGATCCCTATTATGCAATCAAATTAGCTCTAAAAGTTACAAGGAATGAGAGACATCCTTTCAGTATATCATGCATACTGTGTGCAGTACATTGTGTCATTGTATCAAAATTTGTTGTAAAGTTTAAGAACAAAGGTGCAAAGCGATTGCTAATGAATGGTATCATCTCACTCTAATGTCCACACTTAATTTCAAAAATTTTTTTATCATCAAATGATATATTTTTATTTATTTATAATAGACTTATTTCTAATCAACTTTAATTATGCATTATAAAGTTAATTATAATTAACTTCTTTCTAAAATATATTCATATATGAATGAAAGTTAATTTAAATTGAATCATGTGTAAATAAAATTTAAAACCAGAATGAAAGTTGAATTAAATTAATTTTTATATACAAAATTTAAAAATAAAATAGAAGTCAATTTAAATCGACTTTTGTGTAAAAAAATTTTATAAGCATAATGAAAGTCGATTTAAATCGAAATTTTATAAGTATAATGAAAGTTGATTTAAATCGACTTTTATATAAAAATAATTAAACCTATAATAGAAGTCGATTTAAATCGACTCCATTATAAAAAATTATAAATTTAATAAATCGACTTCTGTGTAAAAATTTTCAAAACGAAAGTCGATTAAAATCGATTTCTGATATATGTACTTTTAAGATATTTATGTAATTTTTTTTTAAGATATTTAAGGAATAATAATTTTTTTATTTTATTTGTGTAAAAAAGCCCAAAAATACCTTTCTTAATGTATTTACAATAAAGCCTTACTTTAATGCACACTTGATATTTTCGTTGAATTATTATGTTGGAATTCCTATGCCCATGTCGAAGAACTAGATTTTGCATCGATGCTAGAATTATTATTTTGAATTTCTTCTACCCCTATAATTATATGAAAGGCTTTAAGTTGTCACCGCACATGATGTCCTTTCAAATAGAACAAAATATTTCTTTCCTTTGAATTAATTTAAGTATAGAATTAAAAATATTATATGCTAAAATATAAGATTTCGAAAAAAATCACAGAAATATAAAATTTAATACTTTTTAAATAAAATTAGCTAATTTCAAAAATTGTTAATGACAATTCTTCAATTCTAATATATTAATTATCTTCATGCTTCCGAGTCAGGAAATCGCTTCACTTCACTGCCCTGATGAGTTGCCTACTCTTCAAATCCCTTCTTCTCCGTCCGGAAGGAATCATAAGAATACCGTTTCCAACCCCAAAATGGACTCCTTTTCTATCAACATTCTCTTGGAAATCCAGCTCCATCACTTCAGAGCAACATTCATTCACTGTTTCATACCTCATAAACAATCGTGGGTTCTCACCAGAAACTGCTCTCAAGGCCTCCAAGTTAGTTCAATTCGAGACCGCTGAAAAGCCCGATTCAGTTATCGCCTTCTTCAGAAACAACGGATTCTCCAACTATCAGATAAATAACATTGTTAGAAGTGCACCCAATGTGCTTACCTGCGATCCCCACAAAAGGGTTTTGCCAAAGATTGAATTTTTACACTCTAAAGTTACTTCCATTCCAGACGTTGTTGAATTGGTGAATAGGAGCCCCAGAATCTTCTACGCAAGCCTCGAGAAAAGCACAATCCCTACCTATGAATGCGTGAGAAGGTACCTTAAATCTGATAAGGAAACCGTTTATTCTATTCTCGCTTGTCGACATTTCTTTGGCACTGACCGTGTTGTACAAAATGTGAGATTATTGCGTGATGTTGGAGCCACTGATTCAAACATTTCCCAGTTGTTACGTAGAAGGCTTTCTGTGATATTGTCTTCTAACATGAGGGGCGTCGTGGATGAAGTTACGGAAATGGGTTTTGATCCTTCCAAGTCAAATTTTATGATTGCATTGCTAGCCAAAAAGGTTATTCCCAAATCCCGGTGGAATGCAAAAGTTAACGCCCTCAAGAGTTGGGGTTGGTCTGAAGAATTGATTCTTCATGTGTTTAAGAGAGCCCCTTTAATCATGTTATCATCTGAGGGTAAAATTAATAAGGTGATGGGATTTTGGGTTAATCAGTTAGGTTGGAACTCTTTGGCCATTGCTAAGAAGCCTGAGATTTTTGGATTTAGTTTGGAGAAAAGGATCATTCCAAGGGCTTTTGTTGTCCAGTATCTACTTGCAAAAGGTTTGAGAAAAGAGAGTGCCAGCCTGCTTACCCCATTTGCGGTTTCTGAAACGGTGTTTCTTGAGAAATATGTGAAATCTTTTGAGGAGGACACGTGTCAATTATTGAAGCTGTACCAGGGGAAAATGAGTTCTTAAAGAAAGCGGGAGGGTGGTGTAGCATCTAGCAGTTGTCAAATGGTTAGCTAATTGGTACAAATTATTTGTGGTTTAGCTTTGTTATGCTTCTCCATCCTATTCAGATACTAGTGTTACTCCTGTCTAAATTGCGACTGATTTAGATTAATTGTTTTCACTTTGCTGGGTTAGAATGCTTATTGATTTTTGCATTTTTCAATTCTCATTCATTACAGGTGTGACTTATGTCAACTATTCAATGCTTCATAAATGATTGAAGCAAGAGTACAAATTGTTAAAATATTCAATGCTTATTTTGTGACTTAGCTGACACGGGCATGCGGTTGTTGTTGCCTTTGTACGAATATGAATTCATCATACTTGTTTTCTGAGTATAAATGTGGAAGATTTTTCAGTTAGTCCTTCTAATCCTCAATTTTTAGGTTTTGATTTCAACTTGAAATGTTTTTGGTCTTTGAGCTTAGATACGAAGGGAGGATAGACAAGGATATCAATCAAAGCTCTTTAACCATTATGGAGTTTAAAAAATATCAAGGTCCATGTTTCATTTATTCCTTGCTGTTGGAGTGTCAAGTGAAGTCAATGTTTGAGTGATCGAACACTTGTAGGCTAGATAGAACAATTTACTTTTGTAGTTTGTATGGTCACTTGAGATATATAAGTGTAACTGAGGATTACTTCCTGGTTCACTTTTGCAGTCCCTTCATCATGTTTGATCACAGCAAAACTTTAGCTGACTTGCTATTTTCTTCCTTTGAGAAAGATTGTTTGAAAGAGGCTTTTGACCTTTGGGGAAGAAACTTCCATAATTCAAGCATTTGAAGAAATGCTGTCATTCTTTGCAGTGTAGTGGTTGTGTCAGTGACTCAGTAGGATAGAGAAAATGTGAGATAAGCTCTTTCATTGGAGATGGGGAAAATAAATTAATATTGTAAATTTGTTTATGAACCAACAAATTAGAATTGAAGAATAGATTGTAAGAAGGAAAAAACATGAATGAATCTGTTATTAGAGGATGAAATCCGGACATAAAAGAAGAGAAATCTCCTTCCATGGGCTTCCCTTTCACAAACTGAGCCAATTGTTCAGTGTTCCAATTCTAAAAATTCTGAATGCCTCCCCTTATATTCCTGATAAGAACCACCCCACAAAAGTTATATAGTGTAGTTAGAGAGCCCAAGGCCTTATAAATTTCGTACAAAAATTTTATACTTCCCATGTGAGACACGAGTGTCATACCTTGCAATTGGATCCTAACATCTCACCATGCCATAGCCCTAGAGCCCATGTGGGGCTGGCTGTGCACTGGCCTTCTGACTTGTCCTAGGTGAATAAGTAATGCAGGCAACTTCTCTAGTTGATAGACATTGGGAAAAGCTTCAATACTAATTGGTAAGCACATTGGGAGTACCAAATGATATAAACTAACCATTGTATTTGGAGTGATCCTTGTTGCAGGACTGGGGTGATCCTTGGTGCAGGACTGGGGTGATCCTTGGTGCAATGGCAAGGTTCTGCCTCCTGACTTGGTTGAATGTTCGAGTTGCAGGTACTGCCGCTTTGCTCACCCAAAATAATGGGAGCTTGGTGCACTGGGCCATCCTTTACAATAGGGGTGCAAACATCTGAGTATGGACTACGGATTACTAGTGGGAAATCAAAACTCCTGATGTATCACACCCATGTCTCAGGGATTGAGACTGATTGTAACTGAGCTACAACCTCATTAACAATTTAGTGCTTTGTATGAGCATAGCTAATCTCTTACTTGTACTAGTTAGTCTGGTGCTTTAGTTTTGAAACACAGATCTAGTTTTGGTAAACCTCTTAAACGTGTACTGTTTGTAGACACATTCAAGTTGCAAGAAAGCTTGTTAGCTTGCAACATAAGATGTGAACTGTTTTTCATTGGAAAGGACATAGAAACGTAAAGAACGAAAAATCAGAATAAATTTGTTCCAAGTTTACACTATTTCATGAACTCCTTTGGTGGTTCATACATTTTTGTTTTAAATTTTATGGGAACTCTTAATTTTTAAAGATTTACTGTTGTCTCTCTCTACTAATATACAACAAGATTCTTCACGTTTTACCTTTCTCTCTATCTATTTTAAATGTATTTCTTTTAGAAAATACTACTTTTTTTTAATTTAACCATTTTATTAATAATGTTATTTTCTTTGACTACTCCATTTAAAATGATCAAGTTCCTTAATTGTTTTTCAATTTTATATGTGATCCTAAAAAATGATATTTAGCTATTTTATTAATAATGTTTTTCTTTTATACTATCTTAATTAAAAAAGTTATATTCTAATTAAAATACTCTAACTTTGAACCTTTTAGGGGGGTGGGCAAAGGATTGCAGCTGCAGGCAATGTCACTTGAGTACTAGTAATGCATTGTTTCTTTCAATGACTAAGAATAAGAATGTACGATGTTTTTACATGGACTAAACTAGTATTTTAGTCTCTGAAAGAGTTTGAGTACAACATTTTAATCCCTGAGACAATTAAAATATCGCATTAGTCCACAACTTTCTTCTCCGTTATGCATTTTAGTTTTTGACGTTAGACCCTGTTAAGAGACCGTCATAAAAGGCTGAGCTGTTACGTTAAGTACTATGTCAGAATCCTTGTTGGCAACAACAGTGTCGTTTTGGAAGCTGGCGTGACAAAGATAATTGTGAAACGGTGTCATTGTCATTGAAACTCCTTTTGCCCAAATTGAATCAAACATTTTCTCATTATTGTCGAAGAACACTACCCTAAGTCTAAGCTCTCTCACCCAAATTCTTATTCGTAATTGTGTTTGAGGGTGAAATATTTCAAGATTGAAGTTTATTGTAGTGGAACAAAGGCCAACAGATGGAGAATTTGGTAAAAAAAAAAATTTCTTAATTCATTGAGTCAATTTTTTGGTTTAGGGACAAAGAACCCTAACTGTTCAATATTTTGAGGACGACGAATCCTATCTGTTTTCTTTCTCCTTAATCAATATGAACGTGGTTATTAGAAAATGTTTTTTGTTTGTTATCAAAAAACAACAAGGGATGGTAGGAAGTGGTCCTTGGTAGGCAGTGGTCCCTTTATGTTTCTTACAACTTTTTAATTTTTAAAATTAAAGAAGATAATGTTAATGAAAGTGGTCCCTTTTTGCATGGTTTAACCCATTTTTTCATGTGCATGCATGACTTTCATTGTTTATTCAGTAAATTAGTTTAAAATTGCAAAAGATTGCTGACTTTTTTTATAATTGTTTCTCTGTAAACGCAAACAATTAAGTTTTACATTCACTATAGAGGAAAATTTTTGGAAGAAAATGGAATTAAGGAGTACAAGTGGGATAAAATTGAGGTTTGGACTGATGTTCATGAAGATATGGTAGATATTTTTAGCTTCATAAACTTTGCCAAGGCAATGAGGTATTTCACTAACATAAAAAATATATTTTGGTCTGACTTTGATAAAGAGTTTGATGAAGGTTTGAAGTTATTAAAATATGATGCTGATGTGTTGGAAATGGTGACTATTGCTAAGAAGAATAGAAAGGAGATGCATGTCTATTATGAGCATGAGATTAGTACACCATAATTGCTTGAAGACAGTGAAATTCTAATGTTGGAAGGTCCTGAAGGTGATATTGCAGCAATGAAAGAAGAAATTCAAGTTGAACAAGTAACAATAGAAGAAGATATTCAAGTTGAACAACCAACAATGGAAGAAGGTTTTAAAGTTGAACAACCAGCAGCAGAAGAAGTACTAGTTGAACAACTAGTAATAGAAGAACTACAAATTGAAGATGTAACAACTGAAGAATTATAAGTTGAAGATAGAATATCAGTCCACAAAGTACAAGTAGAAGTTGATAAGAAACAACAAAAGAAAAAGGCAAAGGCAAAGCAAATTGGAAAGGAAAAGGAAAAGACGACTCTAATAAATCAGCTGAGAAAATAAGAAGAAGAAGTTTGCGAATTGGAGCCATGAAAGAAAACTTTCAATCTGCTACATCAGAGAAAAAACAAAAAAAGAAAAAAAAATGGGAAAAGAAAAAGGAAAAGAGAAAGAGGCAAAAAAAACTGAAGGAAAAGGTAAAGAAAAAATGACCTATATTGATGAAGAATATTATTTACATGAGGAACTTTCTGATAATAGCATAGAAGATGTAGAAGAGGTGAGTCATAGGGAAACTCCAGAAAGAGAAGAGCATTCTGAAAATTCATAGAAGTCTGAAGAATAAAGAACTCCAGCAAACTCAGATGATGAAGATAGTAACAAACAAGTTTTTTCCAAATTTAATGAATTTGCAAATTTTGGAAATGTTTACTTGGAGTTGGGAATGGAGTTTGAAAGTTTACAATCTTTCAAAAAAGGTGTTAATGATTATATAATTCAGATGGGAAGAGAAATAAAGTGGGTAAAAAATGACAAAGTCAGAGTAAGAGCTAAGTGTAAATATGAAAAATGCAAGTGGAAAATATATTGTGCAAAAAATAATGTCACACATAGCTTTCAGATTAAGACTTTTCTCAGTGAACACAATTATGGCAAGGTTTTTAAAAACAAACAAGCAACACAAGATTGGGTTGTAGGTAAGCTTGTTATCAAATTAAGGAAACACCCTAATATGAAACATTCTGAAGTTGAGTACTTTAAAAAGAAATTTGGTGTGCAGATAGAAGATACCAAAATATACAGGTCAATGGTTAATGTAAGAGAGATTGTAGAGGGAAGTGAGAAAGAACAATTTGGAAAGTTGTAGGACTATTGTGGGGAACTTTTGAGAAGTAATACAGGTTCAACTATCAAAATGGAAACTGATCCTCAAGTTGAAGGTCCACTGCAGTTTAAAAGATTGTATATATGCTTTGCTGGGTGCAAAAATGACTTTAAGGTTGGATGTATGAATAATAAATAAGTTAGAGACTAAATTGCATGATTTTTATTCTATCAAGAACTAAAGTAAACTTCGTATTTTACTGTAGGGTTTGATTCCAGTTTTGCAAGAAGTGATGTCAGGTACACACCATATGTTTTGTGTGTGGTATCTATGGCAAAATTTCTGTAAGCAATGGAAGGATAAAGTCTTGAAGCACCTTGTATGAGAATGTGTAAGATCAACCACCATCTCACAATTCAATGCAAACATGTATACAATAAAGACAATGAATGAGAAGACATGAGCATACTTAGACAAGTGGCCAAAGGAGGCATGGACTAAGGCATACTTTAGTGAATAACCAAATGTGGATAACATTTGTAACAATAACTGTGAGGTCTTCAACTCAAAGATTGTAAATGCAAGGTGTAAACCAATATTAACAATACTGGAAGAAGTTTGATGCTACATCATGACAACAATTAGTACTAATAAGTTGAAGTTGGAAGACCATGTAAGTCAGTTGCCTCCTATACAGCAAAGTAGGTTGGAGAAATTAAAACAACAAAGCATTAAGTGGACACCAATATGGGCAGGTAAACATAATCCTAATTTTCTAATAATTTTTAGTAATATAACATTAAATTTGTCTTAACTAAACTTCTATCATAGGTGAAGATGATACTCATAAATTTGAAGTGCAATGATCCACAACTAAGGTTGTTGTTCACTTGGACAGCCACACATGCACTTGTAGATTTTGACAATTAACAAGTTAGTTAATTCTATATGATAACTTATGTGTTAAATTTATATGAATATGCAGCATATATAATGTTTGATTTTTTTTTTCTTATAATTTTTACAGGTATGCCTTATATGCATGTTATTGCTGCAATAGCATATAAAAATGAGAGACCAGAAGATTACTGCCATGGATGGTTAACAACTGAAGCATGTCGTGCAACCTATGAACATCATGTTCAACTATTACAAAGTCAAGAGTTTTGGGAGAAAAGTGAGCTAATTCCACCACTACCACCAACTATTAAGAGGACTGCAGGCAGACCTAAGAAGCAAAGAAGGAAAGATGAACAAAAAAAGCAAACAACTGAGAATCCACAGAAACATAAATTGAAAAGAAAATTGCCACATGTTAGGTGTTCATGTTGTGGAGTTCTAAACCACAACAAACAGACTTGTCCTATATTGAAAAAGCAAAGAATGGAATACTCTCAAGCCTAAAACAACAACTCAACACAGCAAGCAGTCCATCACCATACCTGCAGAAGAAGTTCCAACACAACAATCTTTTACTGTACCTACAAAAGAAGGGCCAACAGATGCAGTACCACGAGAAAAAAAAAAGGTAGAATTAGGCCTAAATTCATCTGCTGCAAATGTTCCCAAATCACCTCAACAAAAAAGTCCACCACCATCTTCACCAAATAAAAAGGGAGATGACTCTGCAAAAGCTGCACATTTCATGCTAACACCTGGAATTAGGACTGCAGAATGAGTTGTTGTGATTATGTTACTTGTTTTCATTATTTTTTATGTAACAAGTTTGTATTATGTAAGACTTGTGTCATTTGGATATATTTTATTTGGAATAGTTATTTTGATTGGAATTAGGTTCCAACAATTTAAGGCATTGAATGGTTTTATTTTTAATCATTTTTGTATGTTGTTGTTATTATTTAATATTTTTATAATTTTTAAGCCAAAATTGGGTACTAAGTACAATTTATTATTTTATATTAATAAGAAATTCAAAATCAGTACATACTAATTAGATTCATCCCAAATTTTGTTCTTGGCTAAAAACTGGTTGGTCAATCTCTAGTTCATGACCCAAATCAACTGTTGGAACTCCAGCTTATATAGCACCAGAGGTTCTTTCCAAGAGGGTAAACATCTACGTAGGATGATGTTACTATGATACTTAGAATTGGTAGGGATTTAATTTCATTAATAATAAATCAGTTAGAGACTAAATTGCATAATTTTTATTCTATTAAGGACTAAAATGAACTTCGTATTTTACTGCAAGGTTTGATTTTAGCTTTGCAAGAAGTAATGGCAGGTGCACACCATAGGTTTTGTGTGTGGCATCTATGGCAAAATTTCTGTAAGCAATGGAAAGATAAAGTCTTGAAGCACCTTGTATGGGAATGTGCAAGATCAATCACCTGTAAGACTTTAAATGTCTCATGTGAGGAGCATGTGACTTGTCTAGGGTCTAATAAGTAATTAATTAATTATTAAGGGCTAAATTGTAATTGAGTAAATGAGAAGTGGTTTCATAAATTTTAAATAATTGCTGTTTGATGGAAATAGTGATTGAAACGGTTACGATTAAGAACGTGTGAAACGAGTCCTCTTCCTGACTGTAACGTATTATCTCCTTTCACCATCAATAACGTAGAGAGAATAGAAGGATAAGTACAATGAGGCAGAAATCGGTTTTTCTCTCACATAGAAGAAAAGTCATCAAGATTTATTTGTCTCTTTAACGATGGATAGAGGATAGTTAATTCGTTCATGTGAGAATCATGATATTTCAAGTTCCAAATAATTATATACCTTTTTTGTTAAAAACTTACATGTGGTATCAGAGCATCAGGTTGTGAAATTTGTGATTCTCCATAAATAATTTTCCCAATTTTATAAACCCTTATTTTGAAATTGAGAATTTTAATTTTTCGCTGCACGTATAAACCTGAACCTGTGATTGTGTATTTGAAATCAACATTTTTCGAGTATAGCTGCACGAAATTTTATGGCAAATAATTTGTTAAAATATTATTATCTGCATTGTTAGCCATTCAATTGTCGCATATCGATGTCGATGACCTTTGCTCAGCGTAACATGTATTTCATTGGCATTGAAATAATAGAATTTACTTTGTATGTTAATTGGCATGCGCAATATGATTTCATAATTATACAATTGAATGATTGCCGATTTCAATGTGTTGTACAATAATCATATTATAATTATTTATTGTGAGGCTTCAAAGTATGTGGTTACGAGACGCTGACTGAATTATTTGATTGATTGGCAAGAGTTCTGGAATTTGTTTATGAAATTAATTGATTGCCAATAGCAGTATATTTCCATTATTGATTAATCGTTAATTACTAGTTGCTGATTGCTGTATAATTCAAAGGTTCATTATATGATTATTGTGATTGAAAGTCAATTTGTTTTGGGATTATAGTATGTGATGAATTTTGTTAATCACCAAAGTGATCAAATTCATAAATTTTATTTAATTCCAAATTAATGATGATTCATTTTAATTACCTATAGAATAATGGATGCTAAATATATTATTATTGGCTTATAGGTATGTATTGAAATTCATTATTATGAGACATTTCTGTATCACCCAAAGGTTGATTAATTGTTCTTATAATCAATGAGAATAATTGTAAGTAATTTGTATGTGCCATTAATTTATTTATATACCCAGAGGTAGTAGATATTTCTAATTGGTACATGTTTTATTGCCAATTCATTATGTATTATTAGCATCATTAAATGTCATGTATTTTGATGTATCACCCAAAGGAGAACATTAGTATGCATTTAATATTAAAATGCTTTGTGTGTGTAGTGTGCGTATTTATGTCTCAAAACACCTATGTATGTTTTAATTATGCAGTAAATGTTCCCAATATTCTGCACTCTAGCATTTCGTTTGTGCCAGTTTTTAATGGGCTTAACTTCTCTAACTGGAGTGAACAAGTTCAATTTCATCTTGGTGTTTTGAACCTTGATCTTGCTCTTCAGGAAGAGAAGCCTACTCATATTACTAATACTAGCAGCAATGAAGAAAAGACCCATTATAAAGCTTGGGAAAGGAAAGATCAAACAGACTTAGCCTGATGTTCATGCGAATGAGTGTAGCAGAAAATATAAGGACCGCTCTTCCCAAAACTGAAAGTGCGAAATAATTTATGAAAAATATGGAAGAGCGCTCCCAAACAGCTGACAAGTCTCTTGCTGGGACATTAATGAGTACACTAACCAACATGAGGTTTGATGGTTCACGTACTATGCATGAGCATGTTGTTGAAATGACGAACATTGCTGCAAGGCTTAAGTCCTTAGGCATGATTGTGGATGAAAGCTTCCTTGCTCATTTTATTCTTAACTCATTACCGACTGAGTATGGGCCATTTCAAGTGAACTATAATGCCATGAAAGATAAATGGAATGTGCATGAATTGCACAATATGTTAGTTCAGGAGGAAATACGGCTAAAGAATCAAGGAAGTCATTCAGTCCATTACGTGAGCCATAAAGGACATCAAGGAGCTGGAAAGAAGGTTGTAAAGAAGCATGATAAGGGTAAAGGGCCATTGAAGATTAATGAGGCCTCTGCACAAATCCAGAAGAATAATGATAAAGATAAATGTCGTTTCTGTGGAAAATCTGGTCATTTCCAAAAGAATTGCCTGAAACGGAAAGCTTGGTTTGAGAAAAAGGGTAAGCTCAATGCTTATGTATGTTATGAATCAAACTTAACTGGAGTTCCACATAATACTTGGTGGATTGATTCTGGATGTACAACTCATGTTTCTAACACAATGCAGGGATTCCATTCGATCCAAGCCATAAACCCAAATGAAAGGTTCATGTTTATGGAGAATAGAGTGAAAGCTCCAGTGGAAGTTGTCGGGACTTATCGCTTGATTCTTGACACTGGACATCATTTAGATTTAGTGGAAACTCTTTATGTACCTAGTATATCTAGGAATTTATTTTCATTATCTAAACTTGATGTTACTGAATACTCTTTTAATTTTAGAAATGGATGTTTTAGTTTATTTAAACATAATTATCTCATTGGTACTGGTACTCTTTGTGATGGTTTATATAAATTAAATTTAAATGGTTTGTATGCTGAAACTCTCTTAACTCTGCATCATAGCATTGGCACTAAACGTAGTTTAGTGAATAAACGTTCCGCTTACTGGTGGCATAGACATTTAGGCCATATATCCAGGGAAAGAATGGAAAGACTAGTAAGAGGTGGAGTCCTTCCAGACTTGGATTTTACTGACCTAAATATTTGTGTGGATTGTATAAAAGGAAAGCAAACAAAACACACAAAGAAAGGAGCCACAGTAACCAGCTTCTTGAAGTTGTGCACACTGATATTTGTGGACCTTTTGATGTTAATTCTTTCGAAAAAGAGAGATACTTTATTACTTTTATTAATGACTATTCCCGTTATGGTTATGTCTATTTGCTGCATGAGAAATCTCAAGCAGTGGATGCCTTGGAAATTTACTTGAATGAAGTGGAAAGGCAATCAGACAGAAGGGTGAAAGTTGTTAGGTCTGATAGAGGTGGTGAGTATTACGAAAGGTATGATGAAACTGGACAACATCCAGGTCCATTTGCTAAACTCCTTGTGGTATTTGTGCTCAATACATAATGTCGGGTACACCACAACAAAATGGTGTATTGGAAAGGCGTAATAGAACATTAATGGATATGGTTAGGAGCATGTTAAGCAATTCTTCTTTACCCTTATCTTTGCGGATGTATGCCTTGAAAACTGCTATGTATCTGTTAAACAGGGTTCCTAGTAAGGCTCTTCCAAAGACACCTTTTGAACTTTGGACTGGTAGGACTCCTAGTTTGAGGCACCTGCATGTTTGGGGTTGCCAAGCAGAAATAAGGGTTTATAATCCACAAGAAAAGAAACTGGATGCAAGAACTATCAGTGGTTATTTCATTAGTTATCCAGAAAAGTCTAAGGGGTTTAGATTTTATTGCCCTAATCATAGTACAAGAATTGTTGAAACTAGAAATGCTAGGTTCATTGAAAATTGTGAAATCAGTAGGAGTACAGATCCACAAAATGTGGAAATTAAAGAAGTTAGAGTACATGTTCCTGTGACTTGTGTTTTTAGCAATAGAGTTGTTGCTCCTCTTATTATTACACCACAACATAATGAAGAAGAGCAACATAACACTGAACTAGTGATTCAAAATGAACCTATTGTAGAAGAACCACAAGAAATAGCATTAAGGAGGTCTCAAAGAGAAAGAAGACCTGCTATTCCAAATAATTATGTGGTATAACTACAGGACTCAAAAGCTGACTTAAGCATTAATGATAATGATCCAGTTTTATTCTCACAAGCCATAAGTTGTGATAATTCTAATAAATGGTTAGATGCCATGAAAGAAGAGTTAGAATCCATGGAACAGAATGGTGTTTGGGATCTTGTAAAATTGCTAGAAGGTTGTAAGAGAATTGGTTGTAAGTGGGTCTTCAAGACCAAACGTGATTCTCATGGTAATATTGAACGTTACAAGGCCAGACTTGTTGCTAAGGGTTTTACTCAAAAGGATGGCATTGACTATAAAGAGACATTTTCACCTGTCTCACGAAAGGATTCCTTTAGGATTATCATGGCACTGGTGGCCCATTATGACTTAGAATTACACTAGATGGATGTGAAAACTGCCTTTCTCAATGGAGATTTAGAAGAAAACGTTTATATAGATCAACCAATGGGATTCTCAGTTGAAGGAAAGGAACACATGGTGTGCAAATTAAAGAAGTCAATATACGGACTCAAGCAAGCTTCTCGTCAATGGTATCTAAAGTTCAACGATACTGTTGTATCCTTTGGATTTAAGGAAAACACTATTGATCGGTGTATATATCTAAAGGTCAGTGGAAGTAAGTTCATATTTCTAGTTTTGTATGCTGATGATATTTTGCTTGCAGCTAATGATCTTGGTCTTTTATATGAGACTAAGAAGTTTCTTTCTAGTAACTTTGAAATGAAAGATATGGGTGAGGCAAGCTATGTGATAGGGATAGAAATATTCCGTAACAGATCACAAGGACTATTAGGTTTGTCTCAGAAAGCATATATCAATAAAGTACTAGAGAGATTTAGAATGGAAAAGTGTTCAGCATCACCCGTTCCAATTCAGAAAGGAAACAAGTTTAGTCTCGCACAATGTCCCAAGAATGATTTGGAACGGAAACAGATGGAAACAATTCTGTATGCATCTGTTGTTGGGAGTATTATGTATGCTCAGACCTGTACCAGGCCAGATATAAGCTTTGCAGCTAGGATGTTGGGAAGATACTAGAGTAATCCTGGATTGGATCACTGGAAAGCTGCGAAGAAGGTTCTAAGATACCTACAGGGAACAAAAGAATACATGCTTACATATAGAAGGTCTGATCACCTTGAAGTGATTGGGTATTCAGATTCAGATTTTGCTGGATGTGTGGATACAAGAAAGTTCACTCTTGGCTATGTGTTTCTTTTAGCTAGAGGAGCGGTATCATGGAAGAGTGCAAAGCAATCAATTGTTGCTGCATCTACCATAGAAGCTGAGTTTGTAGCATGTTTTGAGGCTACAATTCAGGCTAACTGGCTGCGAAACTTTATTTCAGGACTTGGAATAGTCAACAGTATTGCCAGGCCGCTGAAAATTTATTATGATAATTCTGCAGCAGTGTTTTTCTCTAAGAATGATAAGTACTCTAAGGGTGCTAAGCATATGGAGCTTAAGTACTTTTCTGTGAAAGATGAAGTACAGAAACATAGAGTATCAATAGAACATATTAGCACAAACCTTATGATAGCTGATCCTCTGACAAAAGGGTTGCCGCCCAAGACATTTATTGAGCATGTTGAAAATATGGGCATTATTGTTTATGATGATTGTTAGATGTAATGATTACATTTTATGTATTATGCACTTGATACTCTGAGCTCACTTATGGATATGTTTCTGATTATCTGTTTTCTTATATGCATGCATGATTGTATTGTGATGATGTAAACAGGTACCGTCTTGAATCAAGATATTATGTTTGACCAATTTTGTACTTCTCACTTACTGGTCATATTAAGGAGAAGACTAATTTTGTAGTACATGGAAGGAAATATGTCGGTTAAAGTGATGTACAACCGCCATGACTCAAATTAGTTCTTATTCTTAATTATGATTTATGATATACTCAATGTATGAAATGATTTAGTCATGACAATGCGCATTATGATGATTTAATCTTTTATTTATTAAACCATGATATTGGATAATGTCACATGAGCCAAATGGGAGAATGTAAGACTTTAAATGTCTCATGTGAGGAGCATGTGACTTGTCTAAAGTCTAATAAGTAATTAATTAATTATTAAGGGCTAAATTGTAATTGAATAAATGAGAAGCGGTTTCATAAATTTTAAATAATTGTTGTTTGATGGAAATAGTGATTGAAACAGTTATGATTAAGAACGTGTGAAACGGGTCCTCTTCCTTACTGTAACGTATTCTCTCCCTTCATCATCAATAACGTAGAGAAAATAGAATGATAGGTACAAGGAGGCAGAAACTGGTTTTTCTCTTACATAGAAGAAAAGTCATCAAGATTTATTTGTCTCTTTAACGATGGACAGAGGTTAGTCAATTCGTTCATATGAGAATCATGATATTTCAAGTTCCAAATAATTATATACCTTTTTTGTTAAAAACTTACATCACCATCTCACAATTCAATGCAAACATGTATACAATAAAGACAATGAATGAGAAGGCATAGGCATATTTATGGTTGTTGTGAACTTTTCTTTGGCGAGAACTTTTCAATGATTTATTTCTACTGAAGTGTTATGACTTAAAATGGCTTTAAAAATCTATCTGTGTCAATATGCCATCTATCAAATGATAAAAGAGTTCAATGAAAAAAAAAACAATATTTTTTTCTTCACTACTTTCCTCTTTCCTTTCAAATCACACATATTTGATCCACTTATAATGCATTCTAAATTGCAAATTCATATAGCCTCCAATTTACTGCTACTTGTCCAATTACAAATAGATATTTTTCTGCAAACATAAACCATTGCTATCACACATCTTGAGATGGCATATGTATTATTTGCTATGTACAGAGTTATCACTTATCAGTACCTGACAGAACAAGCTAAAAAATTACTCTGTTTCATTCTTTTATTCATCAATTTTTTTCACTAAAATATAAACGAAATAAGGGTCAACAATGATTACAAAAGCATTCTTTATTAACATTAAAACAAAATTTTATCATTATCTTACAACAAAGTACATGACAATACACATCAAAATACAAATAATTTGTACAAACAACTTTAATTTCTTAATTTTAGCCTCTAAATATGTTATTTTTGCAGCCAAATTCTTCATCCATTCTTCATTCACAGCTGCTGCACTTGTAAGAGGAGATGTTACTTGAGAGGTTGAATAATTAGCAGCATTATACCTATCCTCCATGCTATTTTTGTTATCAACCCATCCAAAATAATTGCAATGTTCACCAACCTACAGCATGTATAAGAAGTAATTTAATTTAATTTATCAGAAATGACAATTGAATACAACGATAAATTAATTTTATTTACCATATATTTGGGACATCCAAAGAACAATCTTCCAGGATTAGCATCTGTTTGTGAAATTCTAACAGCTGCTTTCAACCCACAATGACAAATCTTGCCATTTCGTTTCTTATTTTGTTCTGATGATGACCTTGAAGCAGAACTCATCAAAGGGCTTATATTGCTATTACTAGCCATATAAAGTGTTGGAAACCCAAATCATGCAAGGAAGGAAGGAACCTAATAATAGAAGCAAGATACCCCAACAATAGAGGAATAGAAGAAACCCAACAAAATCAAGTAACCCAATTGCAACCATGAACCCTAACCCTAATGGTGAAAGAAGACCAGAGGCGCAATATATATTCTGATATGTTTGATTCAATTTGAGCAAAAGGAGTTTCAATGACAACGACACCGTTTTGCAATTATCTCTGTCACGCTAGCTTCCAAAACGACGTCTGATGCCAACAAGGATTCTGACGTAGCACTTAACGTGACAGTTCAGCCTTCTGTGATGGACTCTTAACGGGGTCGAACGTCAAGGACTAAAATGCAGAACAGAGAAGGAAATTGTGAACTAATGTGATATTTTAAATGTCTCAAAGACTAAAATGTTAGTTTAGTCATTTACATGTGTCAGTCTGATAACTTGGGAACATGTTTGCAAATAAGTGTGTCGAATGAGATTCAGAATGCATATAATAGTTTTATTAATCTTAATTCTTCTTTGCATTTAAAAGTAATATTCTTTTATTAAAAATATATTTTTTATTTTTAATATAAAATTATTTATTTTTAAATAAAAATACTATTTTTTATATTTTTAAGCCCAATCTTGAATATTAAAGTTAGTAAATGTATTTCCTCTACTCCTTCTTATAAGAATAAATAATCAATTCATCAAGATTAATAAAAATTAATAATATAAATTAATTATATGAATAAATTGGTGACTTATATATTAAAATAAATAAATAAATATATACAAAATATTTGTATATTTTATTAATACGTATATAATAATAAATAAAGGTATAAAAAATAACTTTTTATTTCATATCATTAAAGATAAAAAATATTGATAATTAATTTTTTCTGCATATATATAAAAGGAGGGGAGACCATAGTATGAATAATTTTAAGCTCGTCTCTTAATAATCAAAATAGATTCTTTAGTCAATAGGTTTCAAATTTCAAGGCTTACTTTCTACTTGAATATCATTTCACACATACTTTTGATTAGTTTCTTCCACCATTAATTTTATTTGGCCAAGCATTAGAGTGTGGACGCAAATAATTATAGGACGGATGTAAGTAATGCAGATCTACTTGCCTGTAATAATTAATAAAATCTTAAACCTAATCGACAACTCTTGGTGGGATTATAACTGTATATTGAACAAATGATATATGTTCATATAATGACAGATCCATTTTATTATTTATTCTCAAGAGAAATTAAAGACATAGGGCGTAAAGTAAATTAAAGGGTATACTAAAATTAAAGCAAAAAGGTATTTATAAAGTTTGAATTCAAGATCAAGTAATCTTTGAAGAGATTTCATCACCTAAGTTTTTTTTTTCTGTTTTTTGCTTAAACTCAAAATGAAAGGTAAAACTGTTTTTATTAGTAGCTAAAAACCATATGATCTTGAATGTACTTTTCATATTAACCATATGAAACATATACTTAGTAAAAAAAAAGAAGTTTATAACTCTCCTATTACATATGATATATTTATTCTGTTATGTTAATTTAATGTGAGAGGTGAAGTGATCTCATGTTGATAAAGCATAATGAGCATTATATAAATAAAACAAATCATAAATTTGTTATTTTTTAGATGAAGATGCTACGTTAAATATACTATTGTAATTTCTCAATTAATTATTAATAAAGGTTTCCATAAATTTTGGACTTACCCTGTCACTTATAGCCGGCACTTCTATAAACTGGCTCTTTTATTTTTTTTATGTTTTTTAAAAAATATTTTTAAAATAATAGTTTTTAAAAAAAAATATTTTCTGTCTGAGATCTTTTTTTGGCACATCAGCACCTATTTTGTCTACCACACAGACAAACTTTTTATTTTATTTTTTAATTATGTTTCATCTTCAGCATTGATGGAATTATGCGATTGCACCACATGTCATTCTCTAGTTAATTTCATCTATTATAAGGACGAACGAAACTCATAAGATTGTATCACGTGTCGTACTAATTCAACTGTAAAACTTAATTAATATGAAAAAAATGAATGTATCTTAAAAAATAATTACAGTAAATTAATAATTGCCATTTTTACATTTAATATTATTAAAGTAATTTATTTATTCAAAAACAATTAATTAATTTTTCAATAGTATTTATTTACCCATTTTCTATATGCACCTAATCTGCTATGACGTGTTTTTCAAATGCACTTATATCCGTTATTTTGCCAATAACATTTATTTATCTATTTTTCATATACACTTATTCTGCTACAACATGTTTTCTAAATGCACTTATAGTGGTTATCTTTGCAATGACATTTACTTTAATAATATTGAATGTAGAAATAATTGTTATTAATTAATTATAATTATGTTTTTCAGATGTATTAATTCTCTTTTTTCTGAATTAAGTTTTTATCGTTAGATTGACATATGGCACAATCTTGTCAATTTTGTTCATGTAATAGATGAAATTAATTAGACGATGACACGTGGTACAATCGTGTAATTTCTTTCTTGTTAAAGATGAAACATAATTCAAAAATTAATTTCATTTATACGGTAGACGAAATAGGTGCTGATGTGATAAAAAAAAGCTCCAGACAGATAATATGTTTTAAAAAAATATTATTTTAAGAAAATATTTTTTAAAAACATAAAAAAAGCCTCTATAAACTTTTATCTAAAACTCTGCTATACCGTATTTATTAGATTATATTTTAGTCTAACCTTACGGCTATGCACATACCTTTTGAAAAAGTGATTAAAAAGCATGAGCTGCAACGTAATCCTTGTATAATATGACCACAACAAAGAAAGAACCGTTGACTCTTGGAATAGCCCGAATTTTTATATCAATTAAACAAGATTTACGGTTTACAAGCTTTTTAACGTGTAAGAGCTTTAAAGACTGTTAAATACTCTTCACCTCATCTTTATATTTTATAATTTTTTAATATGCAAATGCTCCGATACTTAAGTCTTGAGGGGACTAAAATGCTTGATTATGGAAGTTTTTGAAAGTGAATGAAAGTTATTAATATAAGTGCAAAAATTAATCTAACGCTAGCTTAAATTAGAAAGATTTTAACTAGACTAAAAGTTTAACACATGAAAATCGCATATCTTTTCATATAAATATTAATGATTTTAGAGGTAAGTTTGTCATTTTTTACATTAACGTTGTAATTGTCAATTATATAATATATATATATATATATATATATATATTATATTAGGACAAATTTAATAAAGTTGATGTTTGTCGAAAATATCAAATGATAAACATATGTGTTTATCACAGTTGGACTACTTAAGTTACAGACAAATTCAATTTGAATCTAAACAGGAGTTTGTTTGCGTTGAACAAAGACTTAATAACCAATGTATAGTAAGGTTATATGTATAGTTGCAATGTGAATTTGAGAAAACTTTCCTTCCCCGTGAATCTTAATAAAATGATAAAGATCTTGTTAATTTTACTAGAGTGAAATATTTGAGGTTGGATCTAAATTCAATAACTCAACTTGAATTTAATTGAGTTAATTAATTCAGTCTATATTAAACACTTAAATGAAAAAAAAACACAATTTTTTGTATTTATTTAATCAGTTTAAATTATAATTTTGCTAACCCAACCGAACCTGGCCATGATGTCTACCACTTTTCATTTTCAATGTGCAAATGAGGTGCAAAACTCCCAACAACCTTGGAGCTCATCGATCACATATACAGCTCCTAAACTGCAATTGAACCCACGACCAAACGATAAATGCTTATTTTAAAAATCAAATTACTTTGCTGTCGTAGGGAATGACGTAAACTTCATTATAACATATATAAAATTTAAATTAAATTAATCACTTGTACGCCACCCCGCACACAAATTATATTTTTCACGTTTCTCTACTTTTGCTTTATTTTTATTTATTTTCCATTTCAATTATTTTTTTCATTCTTTTCTTTTCAGTGGTTGAGTTGGATTCAATCCACCTTATAGACAAACAGCAATAATATAACCCTCACACTTAAAAATCTTAATCATTTATTAAACCATGTTAATATAAGCTCATTAGTGGACTTGTTCCTTTATATGTAATTCTCTATCTTGAATAATACCTATCAAACTGACTTGCATCTTGGAGCTTTCCAAGAGCTAATTCTTACTAATTTTTCATTTTCACTCTTTTCAACCGTCCCAAAAAGCCTTCCAAGCATCCACTTACAGTTCTTTCAAGCCAATGAAATCAAAGATTCTTGAGTTGGACTTCGTCTAAATTTTGCAAAGAAAATGACTGTGTACTCAGTTAGAATGAGAGCAGCAGCATCAGACCCAACTTATATGTGTAGCCGACCGGGTTGGCATTGTTTTATACTTATTTAATTCGTGGGTTTATTATATATGATTAATCAAGTTACTTATAAAGTATTAGTCCTTTTCAAGTGACAGAAATTATACTTGTTAGTACTATACATGTATTGATTTTTTAATATTAAGAGATACAACACAAATTTATATATAATATTATTTTATAAATCACAAGATTCAATACATTTTGATAATATTGAATAATATACTTTTTAATAAAAAAATTATTATTTACTAAATTTTTATTTAATATTTCATCATTAAGAAAGAAGAGTCTTTGTTCTCTGAAAGAAATCGTAAAGATAAAGACTTGAAATTTAAAAAATTGCAAGTACTACATCATGTTTTTTTAATATATTTGGGTACTGCTCTAGTGTTTTTCAATTTAACAATTCAACATTAAAAGCCTCATTTTGTAAGTTATTATCTTTAAACTAAGTATTTCCCTTACATTCCACACAGCATCAGACATATTCACATGTAATAAATAACGTGTCATATTAAACAATTAAGAAGACACAAGTACTCACATAACTTAACAATTTAATGTGTCATAGCGAGTGAGCGTGCCCAACATATGTACGCAATATTTGTCTATATATACAACGGGATTCGATCTGAGACCTCGATTCCGAGTCTATTATAGTCAAAAGAGTTTCTGGGATATCGGAAAAATGGATGACAACATTGGAGGAAGTTCCTCAAACGACAATGGTTATGATGGTATCAAAGAACAGGACCGGATGCTGCCAATAGCCAATGTTGGACGGCTCATGAAGCAGATTTTACCTCAGAATGCAAAAATCTCGAAGGAAGCGAAGGAAACAATGCAAGAATGTGTGTCGGAGTTCATAAGCTTTGTGACCAGTGAAGCTTCGGAGAAGTGTAGAAAGGAAAGGAGAAAGACTGTGAATGGTGATGACATTTGCTGGGCCTTGACTACACTTGGCTTTGATGACTATGCAGAACCCATGAGAAGGTACTTGCATAGATATAGAGAATTAGAGGTAGATCATCACAAGGTAAATCAAGAGAGAGGGAATAATAGCCCCCAAGAAAAGGATGAACTATATAAATTGCGCAATAGAGGTATTAGGTTTTAACCAATACATATATATGCTAAGTGAATTGTAGTGATTAATTATAAGGCCTGTTAAGGCTTCTGAGGATGGCATAATGTAATGATTTTCTTGTCTTAGTGGGATTTGATTGAGTGATGAAGAACAAAATTGATTGCGTGTTTAATTTTCTTTTCTGTACTGACTGCAGATTTGCATGCTTTTTTGATTATCTGAGAATCGATCTTGAACATGATTCTGCAGATCATTCAGTTTTAAAGTTTATTTCTCTCTACAATTCAAATAACAAATTAAACTTTCTGTGCTCCCAACAGCTGTTTAGTAATTAGTTGATGATAATTTCATCTAGTATGTACTGTAGTAAGAGCTCTTGATTCAAGAATAGGAATATTCATCCTTCAAGCAAAGTTCAAAGGAGCCAGAAAGCTTTGGGGTGGTAAATCACTAGTTTGATCTTAGTTCCATAGAAGAGAATATTGGAATCAACTTGCTAATTTCTTTTTCTGATGAATTCCCAAGATTAATTTCCATGAATTTTCAAAAATTATTGTACTAACCTGTAAGATCTAAGTTTAAGTTTGATTTCATCTTTGTTTAGATTCTGGTTTACTGTTTTGTTTATTTGAAGTCTGCATCGCCGTCGCCGAACAACGAGTGAAAAGTTACTTTTTAGGGTTTCTTTCACATGGTGTATATGTAAGCATCAACTAATACTTAATTAGTATCCTAATTCACTGGGTGTTAATAAGTTATTTTTTAAGCTTTAGACTAAGGTAGGGTTTCATTAACTCGCAATTTTTAAGAGTTGGGACCACAAATTCTACCACACTCAAATTATTATTATATTCATTATGTCTTGTGTCTAACATACAACTGAAAACCACCTTCCCTCTCCTCCCTCCCACAAAGCAGATTATGGTGTTTAGATTTTACCTTGTCATATAATAAACATAAGGGGGAACTAGGGTTCCAAAAACCGTTCAATATTAATAAATAAATAACGCTTTCTACTTCTTGTTTTCTTCTTTCTATTCGAAAGTTGCATTGAACCTACTCTCACAGGAAATCAAGGACGAAAATCCAGGCAGCATCAACCAATCACAATGGTTTGTATGTTGAAAAGTGGCGATCTATAAAAAGTATAAAATATTAACTGTCTTTTTAGTTGAGTCTAAGAACACATATATTGTATAATTGTTAATAAAAAAATTATGTATAAAGTTTTATTATATATTCTTTAAGTATACGTTAAAAAATTAAATTTCTTATTTCCTTTAATGAAGGATCAAAGAGCTGGCAATGTATTCACTCTTCTCTGTGGGGTAACGATCTAATGAATGGGGTTTATATGTAGAACAAAACCAAGGGAATGAAGGTTACTCTCTGCCATGGCCAACGACTCATTACCAAGTGTCTGGCACGAATTGGTTGCCTTAGAAAGCAACCTTACTGGTTGGTCTAGGTGTGACAATGTGCCCAAAAACTAATAAGTTCTAAGCATTAATAATGAGATATTGCATTCCAATAAAGACCACAAACTCCACGCCCACGATTAACTTTTTGATGAACCTTATAGTGCATTGTAAAAGCTAAAAAAAGTGGAAAGTACACTACATTTTGTTATGACCTTTCTCTAATGTTTATGGTGAGTCGAGAAATACGTCCACCAAATATTAAAATATTTATGCATGGTTATATCCTGAAAAACCATATCGAAAGTTTATTTGCTTTCTCTTAATTGAGACTGATTTCTTTTACTTTCTTTCTCCCTGATTTATGTTTATGAAGTATATATAAGTTTAAGATGCATGCCTTTTCTTTATGTACAAATCTTCTTTTCTTTTTTTGTCATAAAATTCTATTTTTACTAAAAATATAATAAACATTTATTTTATAAATATAACTTCTGTTTATTAATATAGATTTAGTTTATTATATATAAAAATTAAATTATTTATTTTTTATTATGAATAACAATGGTACAACTAATCATTGTAGGTATAATGCTAGATGATAGGAGGATAATTAAATAGGCGAGGAAAAAAGTATTTGCTGCGATAATTAATAAATGAGTTTTGATAATCTTGATTTTTATGCTTGAGTTTAAACAACAACAACAATAATAATAATTTATAAAAAAAATCACATTAAAGTTTTTAAAATATAGTAAATATTTTTTAATAAAAAATATTATTTTTAAATATTTAAACCCAGCTTTTAAAATTGAGGTTAATATTTTTCTTAATAAATTAGCCTTTAAAAAAAGAGTTTGTCTCATTCATTTCAAGTGTAGTTGTAATTATGAGGAAGAGAAAGACCATACTATTACTATCACTTGCTTTCGGGTAATATCAGTGATGCCAACTAATTTTGAGAAGTTAATATGCAAATTACAATATGTAAATAAAATAAACTTCCTTTATTTGCCCACCACGCCACTCGCTTATTTGTAAACAATTGCATGTAAGGGTAGAGTAGTGTAGTTAATTTCTACTTTAATTTCAAATATGCAGCCCCATTATACCTCTATTAATATATTGCATACTGTTTTGCATCTTTATACTGTCCATCCTTTCTTTATTGAAAGTGATCAACATTAATTGCTTTACTTTTCGGAATTACATTTGCTTCAGTAGTTAAGGCCTAATAAGTACATTTATTAATCACCATCCACGCATTACCTATTTGTTATTTCACAGACACCGTTCCCTATATATAATTCATGAGCACATAGCATGCTAATTATGCAAACACCATCATCTTTTACAGTAGACTCTATAGATTCTGGATAAAGAGAAAATTAAATAAGATTACATATAGGTTCAATATCATGCAATCGAATATAGTTGATGATATATGTATGAACTATCGATGCAACTCATTTTCCTCATGTATCACCACTTATATAAACACACACTTTCTCTATTGTGTATTAACTGATATTATTACAGTATAAGTTAATAATATCTACCTAAATTACCACAGCCAAATACAATTAATCTATATACGCTGGGGCAGTTGTTTAGTCAGTAATAATAAAATTAATTTGTCTAAGTTTCTCACCACCTTTATTAATTTTGAACAGGGATCACTCGAACTTCATATACAAAAGTTTAGAAAACTACTCTCAACGTAAATGGCGGCACATTGACACTGAATTCGGTCATTGTATAGTATTCAAAACCTTGTTTACGTCGTAATAAACTGTGCTAAAAACTCTATTAGTATGCTTGCGAGATTTTCTTTAGCAAATAATCATTTATTTTTCAAAAACTATTTTAAGAAGCTAACAAAAATAAATAATTATTTTTAAAAGTAAACTATAAACCAAGCACATACTACACTGATCATTCTTGTCAATTAAAGAAGAAAAACTCTAGCACATACCAAGTTTACAAGAATCAAGTGTTTGTATGTATAAAATTTACAGTCAATATTTATTTATCTTTTAAAAATATATACTAAACATTAAATTAAATTTATTCAATAAATTATCAATTATTTTTTATTGATTTTTTTTATATAACCTTGATCTATTCAAAAATAACTTTTAATTTATTTAATTGATAAATTTATTGTTTATACAAAATTATTAAGTGAAATAACTTTTGTCAAAGTCACAAGAGTTACTTTTAGAGTAACTTAATCTTCATCCTGATTAAAATATCACAAATATGCCTAAAATAATTATAAAAATAATGATAAATACTTACGATATAAGAGAACATACAAGTATTTAATATAAATAGTATATTTTTTTCTAAACCATAAGAAACTAATATTAAAAAAATAATGTTGTAAAACAAACAATGTATATAAACTTATATTTAAAATAAAAAATACTAATAGTAAATTAATAATAATAATCAAGTAAAATTATGATCTAAGAACAAATAACTATATATATATATATAATGCTTGGATATATATATTTCATTATTTACTTGGACAAGCATTATAAATAATCATAAATTTTATTAGAGAAACATGTGAAAATTAGAATAATGATTAAGAAAAATTATTATAAAAAGATATCTAATAGAATGATGTTGGGTTTGTATTACATGCCTTAAGATCCATCTATAATTGGGCCCAACTCTAAAAGTTAAACAAAGTCCAACAAACAATTAAATAATAATAATAATAATAATAATAATAATAATAATAAATAAATAAATAAATAAATAAAAATAAAAAAACAAATGGGCAAGAGAGCAACCAGTTTTTAGACTTTATTCCTTAGCAAAAACCACATAACCCCCTCATTACTTCTGTCATTTGGTTTTAATAAGATTACCTCGGTAACGAGCTTTCATCTTCACGAACATAAATATAAACAATCCTTATTCTTTTTCACGTAAGAGAATCTTATCAACAATCCTTTCATACATGTACTTCATTGTGCCTTCATCACCTCATCCTTCCACGTTCTTCATGGCACTCAACACACTCTTCATTACCTCACTATACTTTATTCACTCGTTCGTTTACGTATAAATAAGGGACCATTTTTTGTTGTAAATCTGTATAGATATTACAAAATATTTAAATTATATCATCTTTCAATTTTAAAACCAATTACACTTAATATATGTCATTAAGATTATACTCGATCAAAAGACTATATATATATATTCTTCCACGGTATTTGTTTGTTCATATTTACACAATATATCTGTTATGGATATTTATTAGAGTACATTTTGTTATAACTAATATTTGATTATGAGTTTATTAGTGTACTGAATAGGGTACTCTTCAGTCTTATTCACTTTTTAGATTTATTTATAGGAGAAGGTAACCGAATACTCCTTCGGTCTAACATGGCCGAATACTTCATGTCAGGATTAAAAGGTAATTAACGGATCATTATCTACCTTAATTAAAGGGTTAAAATCAGGTTGACTCAGCAAGCCCATATCATTGCTTATAGAAGGAAGGTAGAAAGTACAGGTAAATGGTTAACTTTTCAATATTAAATAGTACTTATTGTTTAGAATCGAATCTTAACTTCAGCATCTTGCTTTTGCAGGTATCCTCCCCACGTCAAGCCATATCAGCAACAGTCAAAAGAACGTCATCACTTCAAAGTAGAGATTCGAAGACAAGTGCTTCCCTAATAGGAACAATTAGGATGTATTTTATTATAATTGTACTTCTGTTTCCATTTTCTATCTAAGTCTTCCTATATAAAAGGAAGAGATGGTTTGTTGAAAAAAACTTAAGAAACCAATTAGCAAAAATTTTATTAATTTTAACATTTGTCTTCTAGGGAGACTCTCCCCTTGAAGTGAGTTTTATTCTCCCTTATTCTTTTTAATTTTGATTTCTATTACTAAGTTATTGCTTTTGACTTCATAGAAATTAATTAATTAATATTTTTTATTAAATATTATTTGCAGAAGAAATTAGTGTCCTATGTATCCATACATTATAATAATTAAATGATAATAGTAAAAATAATTAACAAATATAAGTTGAAAAAAACACATATATATATATATATATATGATTTTTTTTTTACAAAACAAAAAGTTAGTGAGTAAATATCTAGAAAAATGGGTTCTAAGCTAATTTAAAATTATGGAGGTTGATAATTTAACATTTATAAATAGAGATACCATGAACAATATTTATATGAGTAAAAAAAATCACTTATCATTTTTATTAATACCATTAATTTTTCCCTTTCTTATGATGTAAAAATTGCTAAATTGACTTTATTGGAAAATAAAATTGAAAATTTTAATGAATTTTACATTCTTAGTTAAGTGAGATATAAAATGCAATATATTTTTAATAAAATTACTTATAGACGTGTCAAGTGAAACTACTCTGACAATCTTAAAAATGTATTGACTAACAAACACATTCTAAATATGTATTTTTCTTTTAAGATTAACTAACGTGTCTAAGTATCATAAGCAACTATAGTAAGAATTGTTCTTTCCATCTTAAATTTCATAATAATGCAGTGTGGGAGATATCGCTTTATATATCTCATTCCTACCAACTAAGAGATGTCAAAATGTTACCAAAAGGGCTTTAATTTATCGTATAAATTAGAATTATATTTTACGTCTTTTTTTTTTCATTATAAACATTAAGTCGATAAGTATAAAAATCTTATTTGTTCACTATAAAAAGTTGTTTTAACTCTAATAAATATAAGGTTAACTTTAAATTTTTGTTTTTAGCGTATTCTTTTGATTTTAGATGATCGTTAATTTTTGTTGACTAAGGCTATGGAGAAAGAATGAGTGAAAAATACTCTCTAAAACATTCTTATTTGTTACCTAAAATTTTTAAGAATTATAAAAATATAAAAAATATTAGATTATAAATTATAATTATTGAATTAAGTCACATAATTTTTAAATATTTAGTAAAATTTAATCAATAACTAAAAATATATTAAAACATGTATTTTTAACAAATTTTCGTATGAATAAACGATAAGAGAATGTTATAAATATTTAAAATTATTCAAAGGCACAACTATTTTCTATTTTGTCTTCATTTTCGGGTGTTTTCACCACTATTTAATACTTTTTAATTCTAATTAATTTTTAATTTTAAAGATTATAGAGGTAACTATAAAATATTTTAAAGTTAATATTATAAATATAATATATCAAATAATAAATAGAATTTATTACACATATGTATATTATTTTATAAAAAGTTTCTCAAGTATAGTTAATAAAATTTAGTTCTGATCATAAATATATCATTTATGAACTTATTTATTTAAAAATTTCTTTAATGTCTTAATTTATCCTGACTTAACATAGAATTTTAGTTTAAATATTATTTTAATTTGAGTAAATTATGTTTTTAATTTAATTTTAAAAATTGTAAATAAAATTTTAAATAATTTTTAAAAAATAATTCTCACTTTGTTATAATATTGTTATCTTATATTTATTTATTTAATTTTTATATATAATATAATTTTTATTTTAGTTTATATATATATATATAACTACGGGAGGGATTGAAATAAAAAAAATTACGTCGAGACCAAAATAAAAAAAATATGTATATAGACTAAAAATAGAACTTAACATTTAAATAAATTAAAAAATATTATAATAATTTTAATATGACTTTATTATTATAATTTAGATAAGATTAAAATATTAAATTTAACTTTTCTGATGAAGATAAAAAGTAATTAATATTATATAATAATTTATATATATATATATATAATATAATTTAATATACTTCTTTCGGTCATTTTTATAAGAAATAAAATAGAATATTTTTTTAATCTTTGTTATAAGAAATAAATGTTAAATTTAAAATGTATTAATTGCTAAATTTTTTTATATTTTTTTATTAATATTATTAAATATATAAATTATTAATTATATTATTTAATATTATAGGTACTTTTAAAATAAAATTTATATTTATAAAAAATATAATAAAATTAATTACTTTATTTAATCTGATGATTTAATTTTTTATTTTTTATAAAAAAATAATATTTTCAACGTGTAACTGTAATTGATAATATAATTATATTTTATTTCTTTTAAAAGCAGTAAGTAAAACTTTATTTATTAATAACTCTATATTTTTATCTTTTATGTCTATGATTTTTTAAAAAATATGAAATAATTTTATATTTTCAAGGTAATAAATATATTTCTTTTCGTTTAATGCTAACTTTATAAAATAATAAAAATTATTGAAAAAAAAAAACTCTATTTATTTATCATCCAAGTATCGCTCCTAAGCCGAGATATAAATAGTTACTTTTTTAAAAAAATAATACTTGTTTTTCTTATTTTATAATAAGAAGATCTGAATCCGTAAGAAGTTAGAAATTAGAAGGCCCAAACCCCAAATACATAATCAAAATTTGGTAATTGATTTCCTTCTAGTTTTCCCTTTTACCCTTCGGTGCTCTCTGTTGTCGAGAACTCGCTCATCTTCTTCCTCCTTCTGGATTTTCCTTCGACCATTCTAGGGTTTCGTTTCCTCACCAACGCCAACGGTTTCTCATCTCTCCACGGTAACGCGCTTTTTCTTCTCCCAATCTCACTTCCTTGATCTCCCTCTGTTCTTCTATCTTTGCCTTTTCCGAGCGCCACGGCGTTGTTTCTTCGCCAGCGGATTTCATAATTTCGATGTTGGAGATGGATTGAGCTGTTGCCCTCGCGGTTTCGTCTAATTCGATTGGGGCAAATCTATGAGTGATTTTGCATTTACCTCGTTTTGGAACAGTTTTAGGTTTAGTTCGGGGGGTTTCTGTGCTTTTTACCGTGATTTCCTTCGATGAGAGTTGAAATTGTTTGGCTAGAATTGGGAATGCTTTTTAATTGTTTGGTTGAAGTTTGGATTTTTTCTGATAGGGTTTATGAACATTTGGTTGCAGATTCTGGCGTCTCAGCTTGAAATTTAGTTTTCTGGAATGTCTATGAGTGAGCGCAAGACTATTGACCTAGAACAAGGATGGGACTTTATGCAGAAGGGAATTATGAAGCTGAAGAACATTCTAGAAGGACTGCCTGAGCCTCAGTTCAGTTCTGAGGACTATATGATGCTATACACGTATCCATCTATGTGTTATTTTTGTTGTTTACAATTGCATTTTCAGTCCTTAGTATATGTTTGGAAGACAGTCTTTTTGGAAAAATAATTGATTATTTTTCTAAATCTCTGTTAGAAATCTTTTCGTTATTTTTTTTTATCATCGTAATTGGATAATTCAGACATGCACTAAGAGTTTTGCGTCTAAGTAAATTCGTTCTGCTTGAGTTGATTCAATATTTCCTTCTGGAATCTTCTTTTCCTTAAATCGGGTTGCAGGACCATATACAATATGTGCACTCAAAAGCCTCCTCATGACTATTCCCAACAACTGTACGACAAGTACAGGGAATCATTTGAAGAGTACATCGTATCAACAGTGAGTAACACCACTATTTGGATATGATTTGTTTGTCTGTTTGAATCTTCGAATAAATTTGAAATTCTTTTTAGTGCATTATTTTGTGATTACTGGTTTGCTACTTTCCTGTTAGGGCAATACTTGGTTACTATCAGTATCATATCTAGGGCTTGTTTGGAAGAGCTTACAAATAACTTATAGAAAATAGTTTATGACTCTTGTACGCTATTTTCAGCTTATCTTAATAAGCTTTATCATTAAATTTTTGGTATAAGCCGTCATTTAAAAATAGCTTATTAAATAAGCACTTAAATAATCTGTATACCGCTAATATTCTTTGCCTTTTCTTTTTATGTGTGTGTTTGGGGGTGGGGGTTTGAAAGGACGGCAAAGCCCTACTACAATTGCATCCTACAGGGATAAGAAGCCCATATAAGATCCTGAATGATCCTATGACAAATAGCTTTAGGTTCTTCCCTATCATGGAGACCCAAAGGAAGAGCATTAGCAGAGTTTGCTCGGCAGTGCATAGGTTTAATAATGAGTGTAATTTGGTTTTGATTGTGTTGTGTCCAATGCTCAAGGAACATTGGTACATGATGATACCAATGACATATCTTTTCTTCCTTTTAGGAAAATGTGCTGCATCAATCCTATAGTTCTCAGAGGGTTTGGTAGTTTTAATTTTGAAAGTTCCTAAACAAGTGAAAAAGAGTGTAACTTAATCTTTGTTTCCCAATTCTTGTGAAATGCCTCACCCTAAAATATGTTTTGGAACATTCAATCTCAAAATAATAGCATAGCTATTTTCCCTTATTGCAATTTTTAAAAGGTATCATTTGCTAATGGTTCCCTTGCATTCCCTTTCTATCCATCAATTTTTAAACTTCCAAGTAAGGAGAATAAAAGTAGCTTGAGTGTGGCAAGGTTAGTTAATCTATTAAATTGAGATTCTAATTAATGTATGACACAGTGTGTGTGCGCATGCATATTAGAATACATATGAAAATCAATGGACTAAAACTTTGAAACTCAATGTATGAAATGAACTAAAACTTGATAATTGATAAGGCTTGACAAGTTGTGTTATAATCATTGTCTTATGAAATGTCTCAAATTTTTTAGAATACATATTAGGGTGATTTGATTTTCCATCCATAAAGTTACAGCAAATTAGATTTTAGCAAAATGTACAAGTAAAGTGAAGGAAAATAAACAGAGAAGAACAACACAGAGACAGCAGTGTTGAACTGCAGAACCGAGGAGATTGCCTGAAAAGCCACCAGAGATGGGTGGCTTTGCCAGAACAGAGAAAGGGGAGCAAAACAGAGACAAGAGAGAGGAGGGGAAGAGAAAAACATGGGGAAAAAAGTGGGTTAGGCCGTTAGAGTTTTCAAAGCATTCTGAAAAGGGGTAAAATGTCTGATTTGCACTTAAAGAGCACTCAACTGTACCATTTTGAGGGCAAAGGAGGAAATCAGTTCATTTCTTTGTAGCAGTGCTATTGCCCTGCGGAAATCCATGACAGAGAAACACTTTGTTTAGGCAGATCTGAGGGTCATTCCTTACTGAAATGATGGCTCCGCTACACAGGCCACTATTGATAACTATGGTTCCATATCCAGCAGTTTCTTTTTAAACCCTTCACCCTTGAGAAGGTGTATTCTGGAAAGGTATCTGCCTCAGGAAATACAGTGAAAGTTTAGAGATCTATGTGACTTCCTTTTCATATTACTGTGTGCTCTTGGCAATGAATGTATGGCATTAAGTTACAGAATGATGTTGTTTTTTGGTCTTTTAGCACTTACTTAAAGTAAATAGGTTGACCCTTCAAATGACATCATTTAGTTTAATAAAAGGGATTTTGCACTGTTGTAGCTTCTCTGTGTGTGTGTGATACACAGGCCCCATTTAAGGATCTTGGGTTTAGCTATGACAACGGACCAAAAGAGTTGAAGTGCTATGTGAGGAAGAAGGAGAAGAATTTTCCAGAAAAACAGTGAATTGGTTGGTGACTAGGGAGCCATTTCAACAAGTCAGTTACAAAGAGAGGATTATATGTGTGAAGGGCATTTTCTGTAGGGAGGACAGTATTTTTTCTGCTATTGTTGATTGGGAGTATCATCCCATTATGAGGAGCTGCTGCTCTGTGTGCTCCTTTTTTGTTTTTCAGTTACTTGTGATGTTGAGATTTTCCTGCATGTTACCTGAATTTTCTTACATGATTAATAATACTGCCATATTTGCTATTCCAATTATTACTGTGCAATGCTGTTATCTTTGCATCAGTGTGGGTGTCTGATGCAGAGTTTTTTTTAAAAAATATGTTCAGTCCATATGTTTATCTTATAAGTTGTTATCGATATGGTTGAACGAATTCTCAAAGTTTGGGAATTGACTACACTAAAGTGAGGGATTCACTGTAGAAGTAAAACTAAGGAGTTATATCTGTTAATGAAAAAAATTAAGGGAGTATATTTAAACAATATTATAGTTTGTTTTACATGTGCATGCATTTCATTACAATCTCAACCATTGATTTTTCTATCAGTGGGTATCACTTTTTCCTCTAAAGTGGATCTCTCAATTTATGGAGCCAAATCCCAACATTGATAGGTCCTGTTTGTCTTATATAGATGCCCTCTTGTTTTTAAACTCCCTAAAAGTAAGATCTGGCTGACACTTGGATATTACATTTTCAAAATCATCAATTATGATAGATGATGATATATTCTATGAAACTTGGATATTACATTTTTTAAGTCATCAATTATGATAGATGACATATTCTATGATCCTTTTTTTTGGGGGGGGGGGGGAGGGGGGGTGTCATGTGAAATCTAATTTCGAGTACATTTTGACCATAAAGTTTTTAAAGGTCTGTTTTAAATTACTTTGACAGTTTTATCTGTTAGTAATTTTGTTCTCAACTTTTCTTTCTTTCAAAGTAGAATCACTTTTTTGGTTCAGGTGTTACCTTCTTTGAGAGAGAAGCATGATGAATTTATGCTAAGAGAGCTTGTGAAAAGGTGGGCAAACCATAAAATTATGGTTAGGTGGCTTTCTCGTTTCTTTCACTATTTGGACCGTTACTTTATTGCTCGGAGATCTCTTCCACCACTAAATGAAGTTGGGCTGACTTGCTTCCGTGATTTGGTAATTTTACAATATACCTTGAATGATGTAATATTACAATTTTTCAACTGAACCATAGATGATGCTGTGTCAATTTTTACTGTTGGCTATTCTTACTTGTTTCAGAACTCAAAAATACATACTAGATTTATTGTGCTACTGCTGATTAGATTGCTTTCTATTATTTTGATTTCATTTTAATGCTGCTTTATCACAAGATAAATATATGAGTTTCATTATTTTCAGGTTTACAAGGAACTAAACGGGAAAGTCAGAGATGCAGTAATTTCTCTTGTATGTTTTTTCTTTCTTATCATACAAGAATTTCAATATTTACAAAAATTGTAGATTAATTAACTTATCCTTTTTGTTCAAAGATTGATCAAGAGCGTGAAGGAGAGCAGATTGACCGAGCTCTATTGAAGAATGTATTAGATATATTTGTTGAAATTGGAATGGGGCAAATGGACCACTATGAGAATGATTTTGAGGCTGCCATGCTCAAAGACACTTCTGCTTATTATTCTCGAAAGGCTTCAAACTGGATCCTAGAAGATTCTTGTCCTGATTATATGCTCAAGGTATTATTTATTTGTGGTGTTCCCTGTAACTTGGTTTCTTTGTGTACAATATTGTATGACTTCTGATTGATATTGTGTCTTTCATTACAGGCTGAGGAATGCTTAAAACGGGAGAAAGATAGAGTTGCCCATTACTTGCACTCTAGTAGTGAACCAAAGTTATTAGAGGTTTTTTTTGCTATATTTTCTGCTATTTGGTCTTCTACTTTGTTGGAATACTGCCACTTGAAGAAAACAATTGTTAAATAGTATGATTTTTTATGGTTCCATTTTTTAGTTTCTAAACTATTCTGCCTTGTTTCTCTTTTAGAAAGTTCAACATGAACTGTTATCTGTATATGCAAATCAACTCCTTGAAAAAGAGCATTCTGGATGTCATGCATTACTTAGAGACGACAAGGTCTATTAAAATCTATCCTACTCACGATGTTCACAATTTTTTTAAACTTATCCTACTACTATTTAAGTTTATTCTCATAATCTTATGTTTTCTTTTAATCGGTTAGGTTGAAGACTTGTCGAGGATGTTCAGGCTCTTTTCTAAAATACCCCGAGGCTTAGATCCTGTTTCCAGTATATTTAAGCAGGTTGTGACATTGAACATACATTTACTATTTCCTTTCCTTCTGTATGTCAGTTAAAATTGGGATCTTGTCTTTTTCTCCTTTAATTCTTCATGATTTGTTAATAAGATGGTTTCTCTCCTTCCACAACACAGCATGTCACTGCTGAAGGTATGGCCTTGGTGAAGTTGGCTGAAGATGCAGCTAGTAACAGAAAGGTATTTTTCCTTAGTTTTCTTTATTTCTGGTTGGGAGGATTATTCTCTCTATTGTAATAATTAAGGAAATACTGATATGCTTGGTTTTCAATCCCAGGTCTTTTCTATTGAAGTCTGTTTAAAATTCTCAATGGTGAACTGTTTGTAAATAAATAAGATGAAATTATAGTTTTCAACTTTGATGTACAGTAGAATGTAGATTACCCATTCTGTTCAGGTATCATGTCATGAAAAATGACTATCATCAATGAATTTATGGGATATTATGTGTTCAGATGCTAGGAGAATGTAATTTTTTAACACCATCTTGAATGTTTCATTTACAACTAGAGGTGTGCAAATAAATGTTTATGACATGGAAATGTGTTTAGGAATATTTTCTATGTAAACAGTTGGAACCAAATGACTCTGACTTATTTACCTATCACAACACATTGTATATGTGAATTGGTGTTATTGCTGGATGATGTGCAACATTTGTAACTAAGGAAGTTCTATAATTTATCGACCTATCTTAACACTGTATGTGGATTGGTTTTACATTGCCAGAGGACTTGCCATGTGACATGTAGGGGAAACAATCTGGATGTTTTCAAATATAGATAGAAATCAATAAACTGTCGTTTAAAATGAGGATAGTTTAAAATCAATATCCTCATTTTACGACCAAATATCTTATTAATCAAGTTGTGAAATATGCCATTCTTTTGGAGCAATTTAATTTTGCTGCTGACCTTTTAATTTAAATGTCTACAGGCAGAGAAAAAGGATATAGTTGGTGTACAGGAGCAGGTAATCTCCTAATTTTTCATTTTTATATTTTAATGGTAATATGTTCATTTTTGAAAACTGAAACTGGTCTCTGTCTTCAGGTTTTTGTTCGGAAGGTGATTGAACTTCATGACAAGTACCTGGCATACGTAAATGATTGTTTCCAAAATCACACTCTTTTCCACAAGGTTATGATCATAAAATGACTTTGAAGTTGTTACATTGAATTAATATGTTATCTAAAAGTTTTGATCCTATAGGCTCTTAAGGAGGCTTTTGAAATCTTTTGCAACAAGGGTGTTGCTGGAAGCTCAAGTGCTGAACTGCTTGCCACTTTTTGTGATAATATTCTTAAGAAAGGGGGAAGTGAAAAATTGAGTGACGAAGCAATTGAAGAAACTCTAGAGAAGGTCTGCAATACATCAGTCTAGGTGTTTCATATACTTTTATGAACGTGATGGTTGTAGTTTTGAAACTGAGAATTCTTTTGTTCCATTTGCAGGTTGTCAAATTGCTCGCCTATATTAGTGACAAGGATTTGTTTGCTGAATTTTACAGGTAAAAGTGCTTAGAAAAGGAAATGAGCATTTTGTTAGAAATGTTTCTCAAGGGTACTTCATAAAAATTGCCACTTTTATAAAAATTGTTGCTATTTTTCCTTCAAGCAACATGAAGGTGAATGATTATTTTTGGGAAATGCATGAAATGCTAGATAAAATTATAGTTAAAATGGAGACCAATCGAGATAGTGGTGGGGGTATAAGGAAGTGGGGAGAAGGTGGATTGTAACTATTTGGGAAAGGTAAATTTGTTTAAATTTTATATATTTACCTATATAAGCATATACAAAACTTTATATTACCTTATCTTTCAAATATTTCAACAAGACAAGGACTATTTTCGGACAACTTTTATAAAGAGTGAAGATAGAAAATTTCTTCCCTGCTTTATAACTTTGTAATATGGATACCAAACGTATCCTCTTTGGTCTTGGCCTTTATGGTTTTGATTGCTTTTCATGCCTTACAACTTTCTTTGTATTTTATCATGTAAAAACTTTGAATCTTAATGACATGATTGATGATATAGTTGTAGTTCATCATTGAAGTGCTGTTCTCTGTAGCTTGAATGTCAAAATTCCTTTTTTCTCCTCCAATGTAAGGTGCTTGCAGAAGAATAGCCATTCATGTTTATGCTTGATTATTTGCAGGAAAAAACTTGCTCGGAGGCTTCTTTTTGACAAGAGTGCCAATGATGACCATGAGAGAAGTATTTTGACAAAACTGAAGCAACAATGTGGTGGTCAATTTACCTCAAAGATGGAAGGAATGGTTAGTCTTTGTAAATGGAGCTGATATACTATATTTAACTAATTTCAGTAGAATGGAAAAAGAAACTTGATTGTTTGTGGCTTCTACCAGGTTACAGATTTGACACTGGCAAAGGAGAACCAAACAAGCTTTGAGGAGTATTTAAGCAATAATCCTAATGCAGACCCTGGAATAGATTTGACAGTTACAGTTCTGACAACTGGCTTCTGGCCTAGTTACAAATCTTTTGACCTCAATCTTCCAGCAGAAATGGTATATCTGGATATTGTTGATATTAACTGTTCAGAACTCATGCTGAGAGTTTGATATGACTTAACCTAGATTAGTTCATTTTGGTTTACAATTAACACCTTTCTTTTATATATTTTAGGTTAGATGTGTTGAAGTTTTCAAGGAATTTTATCAAACAAAAACTAAGCACAGAAAACTTACTTGGATTTATTCCTTGGGTACCTGCAACATAAGTGGGAAATTCGAACCAAAAACTGTGGAGCTGATTGTAACAACTTATCAGGTTTTGTATTTCTTTCAACACGCTTCTTATGTGGTGAAGTGTATCTGTTATAATGTCATTGCTTCTTCATTTTTGTTAGTCTACAGATATTGGTATGGATTTCTTTGTACTTACCCAGTGTTGTTTCTTACTTTTCAATAGGCTTCGGCATTGCTTCTTTTTAATTCATCAGATAGACTGAGTTATTCAGAGATAATGACTCAGTTAAACTTATCTGATGATGATGTTATTAGACTGCTCCATTCGTTGTCCTGTGCCAAGTACAAGATTCTTAACAAGGAACCAAGCACGAAAACAGTATCTTCTACTGATTATTTTGAATTTAATTCAAAATTTACGGACAAAATGAGGAGGATCAAGGTACAGTTATGTTAAAAAGTATTGTCTATTTGCTTGGCTATCTTAATTTCTCTATCCAACTTACTGATTTTTGAGTGGGACTGACGCATAATTTGTCATGTAGATTCCTCTTCCTCCTGTGGATGAGAAGAAAAAAGTAATTGAGGATGTTGACAAGGACAGAAGATATGCTATTGATGCCTCAATTGTGCGTATTATGAAGAGTCGGAAAGTTTTAAATTACCAACAGTTAGTTATGGAGTGTGTTGAGCAGTTAGGTCGCATGTTTAAGGTTTGTATTTTACCCCTTTTCTAACATAATTTGATGTTTGTTCGTTTTTATCAAATCCTGAATAGTTGAAATGGAATAATGTATTTGCACAGCCTGATGTTAAGGCAATTAAGAAGCGGATTGAAGATTTGATCTCTCGAGACTACCTGGAAAGAGACAAAGATAATGCAAATTTATTCAGGTACTTGGCGTGATTTGGTCTAGACGATTTTGCAAATGAAGTGGTTCTGCAGTTGCTACAAATAGCAAAACAAGAGGATCATATTTGAACACGCAAAATATCAGTCCCTCCATAATTTCCTTGGAAGGAGGAGCTGCGAGTGCTTGTACATTTTGCCTCCATATCCAGGTATGGGTTACTACTGTAGATGTGTGCTCATGTTGGAGAAGTTGTAATCAATTCCATAAGTAGGTCCAGCTCATTGGTACCTTCACTTCTTTTCTCTGTTTCGATTGCCGCGGTTCCATATGATGACTGAGTTGATGCCTGTCTGTTAATTATTTCTCCCACCCACATAAAGGAAAATAGGAATCGTGTAACTCTAGTTTCAGTGAAATTGTAGTTTGATTGTCATCTTCGAAACCATCAAGTGAATGAGTATCTCAAGGATTTCAAGATTCTCGCTCGTCGTGGTTGTCGCCTTTTATTATATATATTCTTCCGGTGAATGCTTGATATTATGGTGCTTAGGGAATGGATCTCTGCTTTCACATCTTCGGATATTTGGATGTCTTGTACTAAGACATGACTCCATGAGATTATCCTCTTAAGCATTTTCTTTAATGTGCATCCCTCATAATTATAAATATTGCTCCCCGTCTGTTGTGTGCCAATGGGAAGTTATTTTGGGTGAAAATTGGAAAGGCTTTGAATTTCTGTGTGGAGCGATTGTTTTACATTTGTGCAAGTTGAAATTACTTTAAACCAATAATTTTTTATTAAATAGTTCTATCATAAAACTCGCCATTAAATAATAATGTATATAACTAGAAAACTTTAATAGTTCTATCATAAAACGTGAAAACAATCAGGAAAATACTGGATACACGTTTTCTCCCTTAATGAGCAGTGAGTATGATATTCATGATACAACCTGACAAATCATCATATCCCTTCTTGTAAGAGACTTAATTCGTAAGGACCCACGAACTTTTGTTTATTAATTCACCCATAATAATCTAGAGTCTAAACACATTAATATTTGGCTTTAAATTAGTTCTACTGCAGCAGTTTTCACTCAACTAATGTATTTTCTGGAAGTGTAAGAGTTGTCTTTTCAAACAACTTAATTAGCTTCCTTAATCTTTAGTGTGTTCTCCAATTTAACCTTCAGTAATTGGCTAGTTACACCCTCATTTCATGCATCACTCTCTGAAGCACGAGTACATAACATTTCCGATCCATCATCAAGACTACATCTCAACCACACCGCTCTAGACCAACACCAAATTGATGATGGTACTTTTAATATAAAGTGAGACATAACTTACAAATTTTCTCTCTAACTCACACATGAAATAGATGAGAGGAAGAATAGTGTAGGAACAGTTATTAACCACCGTTTTAAACCTCAATGAGTGTGCCTTAAAAAATGCCTCTTGAGACCTAACATCACCGTGACCAATAACTGAACTGGGTTTTTTTTTATAATGGAATGGCTATTAGTTAACTGTTTACCAGAGTTAAATGAGACTCCAAACTCCAAAGGTTATATATTATTTACCAAAATAAAAAACACTTGGTTAATTAAATGATAGTTATAGAAATGTTAGTTTAATGAGATGGACTCCAATTTTTAAGGGAGGATAGAGTTTAGTGTGAAATAGACAAACTTTAAGGGTAGTTAGTTTTATTTATTCGAATAACTAAGATAAATTGTACTCACATTTCTTTAGTTTTAACAAATTTATATGATTTTTTAAATATTATACTGATTTTTTTAAAATTCAAATAATAATACAAAAAATTGTGGAAGAAATTTATAAAATGTAATATTTTATTTTTAAATTGTTAATTATTTAAATAAATTATTATAATTTACTAATTAAAAATATGAAAATATTTATTTAGCATTATACAAATTCACTTGATATTAATATGATTATAAAAATATTTTACATTAAAATAATATCAAAGTGGTAATTTTTTATGCCTTTTAACATTTTAAGAAAATGTCATGATATGAAAAATTTAGTAAAAAATAGTATTCACTACAAGAAATGCGTCACTTAGTGTCGGTTTATTAGTAGTGGTCAGCAATAGTAGCTACTAAAACATTTTAAAAATAACATTTAATGTCGGTTTTAGTAACTGCTGTAAAAAATATGAGATTTAGCAGCAATTTTGTGTAATTACTGTAAAAAATGCAAAATTTAGTGTTAGTTTATGATAACAATATAAAAAATATTACTCCTTTTTCCATTTTTTATCACTCACTCAAAGTTACTATTTATCTCCACCATAGCCTCATTTGAGTTCCACCATTCTCTCTACTACTGTCATCATCGTCAAAGTGTCTTTTCTAACTGTAACAACCTCGATAATCTTCTTTTATCCTTTTCACTTTCTCTAAAAATGATTCTTCTTCAATGACTCTATACTATAAATTATAATATATATATATATAAATATATATATATATATATATTGTAATGTTAAAAAATAAATAGAATGTGAACTTAAATAGCAAAAAAAAAAACTGAATAGAAAATAAGAACCGAAAAAAGTGTGAAAGCAAAAAATAGAATATTGTCCTGTATCTGAAATTTGAATTTCAAAGTTTTGTGATAGTTTAAAATTGTCATTAAATAAAAGCTACAAATTTAAAAATTTAGTGGAGAGTTTAAAACTGGCACAAATTTAATTTTATATCACCAATTTTAACACTGAAAAAAATATTTAAAGACGGTTAAATCTGTTATTAATCATTAAATTTAATTGCTATAAATGAGCTATTTTTTTGTAGTAATTCTATATACAAATGTTGCTAAAAAGGATAATGTTGAATGAGATATTTGATATCACTCTTGAAATGAGATACTCAATTAATATTGACGAAGCATAATCTATATTTGATCATCGTATTTTTATTGTTTAATGTAAAAGATGCGTTAAGTATGAGAGGTTAATAAGTTATTGTTCTTAAAAACTTTAATTACAAGTATACAGATTTACCGTGATATTGCGTTGTATCAACATTTACAAATAATTCTCTCGATTAAAGATAAATCGCAAAGGTCTAAACCGTAATTCTCATTGTCCAAAAATTTATTTCGAAAAGCCGTAATAGAAAATAGTAGAGAAATTCTAGGGAACACAAAGAGGTGGGGAAGATATAGAAGAAAATCACTTGTTTTCAAGTGCCACTGAAGATGACTAGAAAGTGGTTCAAATTCAACTAATATTTTGGACTTGTCAAATAACAATTTGGTGTCAAATTCAAGTGAATGAAGCAAAATAAACGGCTGCATTCGCTTGCCTAACTAAACAAGGAATGAAAAGATTGGCAAATTTCTCTGATAAACGTGAATATTCTTTCTAGGGATTAATCACTTCTTCTTCTTTTTTTCTTTTTTTCCAACGGTTATTCTTAGTCTAAAACTTCTAATGCTACAAATTATTTAATCATTGTTGGGTCATGTGACGTGCAAAATTCCTCAAATTTGGACAATGGGACCCGTCCACTTGTAGTAGCAGAGTTCATCTTCCTCAAATTTCAAGTGCAATGGTACTCTTGCTCAAAATAGTGTGAAATGAAACATCATGGTAAATTCACGTTGTGAATCTAGGAATAAAAAAACCTTGCGTAAGCACAATTATTTTGTAGTGGGTAAAGGTTTGCAGCCATAGGGCTAGCTATTGTTTTCACGTTCCTCATACACGGGGTGATGACCTCAAGTCAAACGTGAATGATTTCCTCATGCCAATTTAAAGGGCCAAAAATAATTTTAAAAACTGGCTTTGCTTTACACGTTTCGTAAAATTGTGAATCCACAAGTTGGGTAAGATCCACTTCCTAGTTTAGTTTGGTACGATTGATTTTAAAAATGATGTTCCTTTCTCTCGGATCTCTCTTTTTGCCTGAGACAATTCAGATTTTAAATGACAAGTAAAATTTTCTATATGTAACTCATAATCTTCTTCGAGCCATGCAAGCTATTCATGGATTCAAATCACTTATTCATTCCGTTAGGAGTGTCAAGTGCAAGAAAAGGTTATAAAATCATACAAGGTTTAAATATATTTTTCTCTACCTTTTTTTTTAAAAAAAAATTGTCCTTCTGAACAAGTTTATTTTTATTTTGTTCCTTACATTTTTTTAAGTTTTTTTATCCCTTCTCACTAATATAATTTAACTAAATTTACACTTGCCAACCTCTTAATAATAAATGACATCAGTAATAGAAACTAAATACTAAAACTCACAAAAATATATAAATCAACTGAAATATATTTAAGCCTCATAAGAAAATAGACAAGTTAAATAATTTATAAAAATAGAAGGATGCATACATCTAATGTGTTAAAGTTTTAAGGTGTGACGTGATATTTTATTAGCACATTTTGTCTGTTGTTGAAATTAAAAAAAATGACACGTCAATAACATCATAAAAAATTTAACATTCATGATTAGCCTTTCTATTTTTTTTTATTGAGATGTTATTTTTTTTAATGGAACAGATATAAATTAATGGGTATATGTGTTTTGGCTGTTTAGAAGAAGAATTAAATATTTGAAAATCATCCTATAGGATGGGTCTCAAAAGATGCATGGTTAAATATTTATTAATTTGTCAACAAATTTCTTAAAGATAATGATTCAAAAACCGAATCGTTTATTCAAATTACTTGAGTATGGCATGTCATATTCATATAGGGTTAAGGTTGTATTTAGAAAGTGGATTTTAAAATTCTAAAAGATATGAAAGTAATAATAAGAGATGCTTAAAATTATTTTTTACTATTTAAAGACATGGATTATAAAATTTTTAAAATGTCTCATCCAAATACAACCTTAAGCTTTGTATTTTGCTGATATAATTTTTTATTGTCCACTTAGTTATTGAAATTTCATTTTTCATGTTGCACCTTTGTTAGGCAACTTTTAATGCCTAAAACCTTTGCTCTACAACACATAATGTATAAGTTGCTTAACTCACTAGCGACACGCATGGGCTTAATGTACAATCCCACCCAACTCCACCTTCCTTTATTTTTGACTGAACAACTGTCTTGCCACCAATTAAAGTGCATCCTCTTTCCCTGTGAGCCTCACTTCACACTTGTATTAACATGTTAAAAAAAACGAGCTATGGTTTTAAGCTGGTTTAATTCATTGTCAAATTAAAGCACTCAAATGTCATTTCAGTTCAGAATCACTGTGAACCATCACAACTTGCACGGTTGGTGCTTCCATCCAATTATATGAACAACTAAGACATTCATAAATGACTTGTGGGCCACCCTTCTCTCTGATCACAAAGAAAAAGGCTCTCCTCTCAAGAACAATAAGACAATCAATGATTTTGTCCCCTTCTTGTTTGATTCTTCCACTATATATTTGCGTGGAAGTGCTCCACATGAATGTCTACTTCTTAATATGTTTTTATTTTAATTTGTAAGTTTAGATTTAAATTTTTTATTAAAAATAATAAAATTTAATAATTAAATACATTAATATTAATAAATATTATATTTTTAATAATAAATTATTAGTTATTAATTTTTTATTATGCATGATTTACACAAATTAAGAAATCATAAAAAATATTATATAGAGAATAGTTGTCTTGACACTTAATTCCACTTTATTCTTAGCTTTTTATGTGATTTAGACCATTAATGCCCACATGGCAACACAATATGCTAATAAAGCTTATAAAGTATAAGATGTCATCAGTTTCCATTGAAAGATAGCATATACATATTTAGAATAATTTCAGTGAGTCATCTGTATATGACCCACATTTACACTCTTCTACATCAGCCAACTAATTCTTCTGCCTATTTTTTAACTAAAAAGAATACAGAAGCTTGATCTTGATACTTTTATGTGGTCGATAATTATATACACACATACATAGTCTAATTATAGTACTACTAGCTAGTTGCGGAACTAAGGGGGCCTTCCTAGCTTAGGTTTTTGGTTGGGATCTTGGCAAAGTCCAGGGTCTTTTTTCCTTGTAACTTGTTTGTTACATAGTGTTTACTGTACTCTCCATGATTGTATCTTCTGTATTTGCATGGGTGGTTTTCATCCACAAATTCTGGCATTGGACCAAGCTCAACTTCATAGCTAGGAGCAAAAAATGTCACAATTGAGAGTCTATCTTTCTCCTCATGAGCCACAGCTCTATGCTCCACACTCCTGTATTTTCCATTTGTAAGAACCTGCATAATGGAATATAGAATCAAATCCAGAAGGAAAAAAAAACCAAAAAAGAGAAGTTAGTGAAACTAACTGTTATTTAACTAAAATTTCTGTAGACAAGACAAAAGAAAGGGTTTATTATATTTTTATTAAAAATATATTTATTACATATTTGTATCTCTGATGTAATAAATACTTTAATTACAGTAGTGATCTTACTTCTATTGTGTCTCCAATGTTGATAACAAGAGCATTTGGAATTGGCTGAACAGGAACCCATGTATTGTCCTTGAGTATTTGAAGTCCCACCGGGCCTCCCTTTGCTTGCTGAAGCACAGTGAGGGCACTTCCATCTGAATGTGGACTCAGACCCAAAACAAGGTCAGGTCTGGAACATGTTGGGTAGTAATTCATTCTTATGGCTTGCACTGCTACACCAAACATCTTCTCAAACACATCACCTTTCAAGCCAAGGCCTAAAGCTATGCATTTCAACAGGTCATAGCACAGTTTCCTTATTTCTTCTGAGTACACTTCCACTGTTTCACTGCATGAGTGTTTGTTCAAGTTTTTTAACCAACATAAAAACATCGGAATAAATGAATCAAATATATATATGGCGATACCATTTTATGTTACCTGAATCTTTCTGGTGTCTTTGGCCATAGATTTGGATTCCTAACATATTGAGGTTCAATTCCAAGAGCAAACATGTTGCACCAATCCAGCTTCTGGTCCTCTGAGAAAACAAAAGCCTGTCCATACCCTTGGACTGTGCCTGGAGCCATAGGGTATTTCTTCTTCTCTTCCAAAGGTAGCATGAAAAACTCTCTACTCAGATTCTCTATGCCCTCCAGCAGATTGAGGTCAACCTCATGATTAATTACCTAATGACCATACTAAATATTATTTTCCATGAAAGAATATGTTACAAAAAATATATGTGTAACATGGTAAGTAAATAATATCTCGAAAAAATTAATTTCTCACCGAGTTCAATAGTATTATATCATCCTTCAATCAGGAAATAAGAATTTATTATTGTTGCTGTTGTAATATGATAAGTAAATGAAACTGTAAATATTTTTCAAATATTAGTAGCTTAGGAACTAAATGGTATGTACCTGAAAAAATCCCCACTCCTCACAAGCAGTTGCAAGATTGAAAATTTCAGTGAGTACTTGCTCTTTGTTCCCTTTGGTAAGCTTAGAGAAATCAATGACAGGCATGTCATTATATGGTGGGGAAAGGGTTGTAGTTTGTGTTGTTGGTCTTTCTGTCATGTCTCGTACAAATCTATGAGGAATTGTCCTTGGCTTAGTTTTTCTCAGCTCTTGGACATCGTCAATTTGCCCAACATTTATGGGTACTGGAGGCATGGAAACTGAATTTTGGAGCTTCACAGTTTTCCCTTCAAATTGATTAGTGATTACTCTATGCTCAACCCTTTCAACCAAGCATGTATTTATAGTAGAATTTAGACCTTTATGACGTTGCATAGCAAATAATTGACTTTTTTATTGTGTATTTATTGGAGGATAAAATGACGCCGTTAAAATTATATTTACTTTTATACTATCAATAATTTAATAAAGAAAATGATTTATTAATCATTTGAATTATAATTATATATTATTTAAATTATTTGTATTAAATTTGTTAAAATTAATTAATTAAATAATTAAAATTAAAATATTTTTATTTTAAATATATATTATGATAAATTTGATACGTACGAATAAGATATTAAATAATTTTAAATAAATAGTAAATTTTATAAACATAATTTTATAATTAGAATTTTTAATTTAATGGTTAGTTTTAAAAATAAACTATTAAATAGTGTAAAAATGAGTGTAATTTATCTCAATATAATTTAATTCTCTCGTGTATTAAGGAATATGTTAAAATTATTAAATATATTTTATTAAATATTTTAAACCATTATAAAAATTTGAGATAATAAATATGCTTATTTTTAATATACTTTCTTAGAATTACATTAAAAAAAATGTTAAAACAATTGTTACTTATGGAATACTATGTCATAATTATGCATAATTGACACACGAATCCATGAGGTTTTAGTCAAATATTTTTTAACCTTTTAATTGAAGGCTATATCATGTATGTATTATGTGCAGTAGTGATTGTAATTTGGCGTAAATAGCATTACTATCACAAAATCTAAAAGAGCTGTTCACAGGGACCCGCATCAAACACATCCATCTATAATCTTGATAAAACATACTTTTTAATTCATGCAAATATGATTTTATTTTATTTTGATCATTTAAAAAATGTTATTTTTTCTTTTTAAAATATTTTTTATTATTTATGAAATTCACGTATTTAATTATGTCATGTCATATATCACGTTAACTGTAGTAAAATAGATGCATAACACATTTCATTAGGTTATAAGAATAATTTTTAAAATTTATAAGAATTATAATTTAATGAGAAAATTAAAAGTCAAATTAAATAAAGTCATATCTATTAAAACTAAGAACATATTTAAATTTATAATCTATTAAATCTGAAGTATTAGTTGTAACATTAGTGCAATAGTCACCTCATTAGCATTATTTTTGTCATGTCAAAACCTAAATGAGTTGTCACTTGTCACGTCCTAGTTGAATTAATTACTAAATAATCACACGCATTAAGTGAAAAAAATTGAGCACCTTCTCTTAATAACTATAACCTATGTCTATTTCTCTTTTATGTTTCTATTAAAAAGGAATAAAACACGAACAAAAATAAATATTTACCCTTGCAAAATTTATAGTACCAACATAGCTAATAGGAATTGTTCTTTGTTTTAAAAGCTTAGATTCAATTCTAATTGCCATCACTCCTCCTTATTAAGTGAGGTTATAAATACTAATGCAAAATCTATTTGTAGCTGGTGACACACTTTAACCTTAAATTGAAATTTACTGTTTGGTGGCAAGGAGGCATGCAGTTGTGACTAACATGCAAGTTGGAGAAGTGAGATTTATAGTGCTACCAAAAATACATCAAACCAAACTTCCACATGCCATTATGGATGATTGGTTTTGCTTTCAAATCTTTATCTATGGACATTTGGTGCATTTTTGTGACTCCATCAATTGTGACACCAGAATAATTATTCACCAATCACTTCAGTTTAAGAAGCACAAACCTCTTCTCTAATGTCTTTTTTGTTTGTTTGTTTTTTGTTTTTACCAAAAGGGAGAAAATATCGATTGAAGTGCACATGGCAAGTGGTGTAACAGACACCACGTCCTTTTCCTTCTGAGGGATGCTAGTGCCACAATTTAACAATATTAAAAGCTCGACTCTGTTTCCATGCTGTTGATTTGTAAAATAATTGATCAATCAAATGAATGACATGTAACTGCATGTGTAATATTTATAGCCACAAAATTATGTCAACTTAATTAACTAATATGTATGATATCATCAACCGTAGCATAAAAAGGTACATGTAAATAAAAATTAGGACCATCTACTGTATAGTATATTATAAACAATGAAATAGATAAATAATAACAAATGGTACACAGTACATACTACCCTACAAGCTACAGAAAAATTATGTGAGTGATATAAGACTAGCTGTAGGGCCATTCTCAAATGTCCCAAAGAAAAATGGCCCCATTCTGCAGACCAAATCTAGTGTTATTTGTCATGGTGCATTTGTCCACCCTCTAATGTTTAAATCCTCCACTACTTTTTCTTCCATCATGCATGTCTTGTTGCTGAGGCATGCATCACTATTTATTAATGACTCATGACATGCATAAGCTGTTACAGACATCCATAACATGCGAACTTTCAGTCCCACAAGTTTTCTTGTCTTGGCAATGATACAAACAAAAACAAACAAAATCTGCTGTGGACTCTGCCACTGAAGGATATACATACTCAGCGCATGCTACTGTCTGGTGTCTACTGAAATGGAAATATCTCCACAAAAAAATAAATATCAAGAGGATAAAACCTCTCAAAGATTACACCAAAAAGAGACCCCTCTCCATTATTTGATGTATAGAGGATAAAATTGCAAATCAATTTTTTATAATTTTTATACTAACAAGATAGCAAACCTAACTAACACATAATTATTCTTATAATAAATTATTATATTTTATAATTTTTTTCTTCAAATTTTTTAACGTGAGACCTTAATCAATTAACACATTTTAACCTAACCTTTGGGAGTGCAATCAATATAATCCACTACTTGTGGGCATAATAAACTGACAGAGGTGAGTTAGTTTTCTCTTCCTGAATAAACCATTTACTTGCTTTTTCCATTTTCTCCCATGTAAGTCAATGAGACATCCAAGTGTTTAAGTATTACAACATTTATTTATTATTGGATAAAGCTTCTATTTGTATAACTATTATCCTACTTCTTAATTTCCGATCCAGGCGCTTTTTGTGAGAGGAGAAATTTTCTCGAGTGAACTTTCATGCTAAACAATCAGCTTCAAAGTCCGGTAAAATTATTAAATAAAGTGAGAGTTACATCTTTTAATTTAGTGGAATTTAAGTGAATTTCCAATTATAAAAAATCTTTTTAAAAACAATGTTTCCAATGTGTATTAACATTGTTCATTAACGATAGATGTAAATTTTAGTAATTTATGTTTTTTTTAAATATTATTATTATTAGATATTTATCTCGACTCTAAAAATTAAGTTTAATAATTTTTTATATATTTTTAATAAATTTTAAAAAAATAAATTTTTTAATATAACTTTTAGATTGAAAATTCTAATAAAATATATCAAGTTTACAAAACTTTATAAAATTTAAATACTATTTTATTTTAATACATAATATACTCCTTTAAATCAAAGTAAACTTCTACAGTCAAATTATATAGTTACATTTGAAATATATCACATTTAATTGATTCCTTTTTTTTTTTTTTGCCAAAAGATCAATCTAATTCAAATTAGTTAAAATACTTAAAAAGTCATATGATAAAATTACAAAGTTGAGAAACCAAATTAAAGGGGTACACATATTTGTTAAAGATCAAATGATATTCTATAATCATTCTATTCAATAGTCATGAATGAAGTCGTAGATGACTCTATAAATGATATTTTATAAGTAAGCAAGACTGAAACTGTACGTAACTAGGGGGGAAAAGATATATCTTATATGTGGTTTTAGAACTATAATAAATTTCATATGCTATTAAATGGTATTTGTGCTCTTGTGTGAGTAAAAAAAATGGAAAACCTTTATTTATGAAGTGAATGGATACTTGGTCAAGAAGTAATCTAAAAGGTTGAAATTTCTATAATTTAGACTAGGATGGGTAGTTAATTTGATCATCTTTATCCGAATTGACACATTTTGATAGGATTATTTTTTCAATTTGAATTTACTCTTTTTGTCGATAATATACAAACTTTTAACATTGTTATACATAAACAAATTATAGAATTGAAATAAATTATATCAATATAATTATAATATCGTATTGTATAAAATATTATTAAAGAATTTATAATTTTTAAAAACGTGTGTGTATATAATCTATCACACGTACACACATGAAACACCAGTTGAATTAAGATGATTAGAAGTACGATCCAAATTCGTCTTCAAACATGTCATGTATAACTTTTAAAATTTCAATCTGTCAAAATCAATTTAGTTTTAGTTAGATAGAATTAGTAAAACAAGAATTTCGAACACCTCTAATGGGAGCTTTAGTTTTGTCTCTACTAACTTATAGAATGATTTAACAATTATTTGGTGTAATCAACGACCCCCTTTAAGTTTGACACTAAAATTCTATTATCGAACCACAACCATTTGAAATTAGCAAAAGTTAAGCCACGAGTTACTTGAAAGACTTAGCCTATACATTAAAAAAAAAAACAAAGAAGGATTTATTCACCAAGATATGTGATTAGCTTACTATAAAAACAATTAATAGATTAATATTCTTAATAAACAAGTGGTTGTCGAATCTGTTAAGTTTAAATTTCACTACGAGCGAATCCTTTATTATGATAATCCCTTTGAGCTAAAGTTCAAAAAGAAACGTCAATCTGGAATTTGAATGATTCCATGCTAATATTCAGTATCTTTTGTTCAAAATAAAACAATGAAGTAAATGAACTGAGATTCTTCACTCAATTTTTTTTATATATAAACTCGTCTTTAATTTTTTTTTAATTCATTTTTTAAGGAATATCAGTGTTAGGTAAATGTATTATAAAATGTAAACTTTTAAAAATGAAGATTTTGTGTTTGGTTTTATCCCTAAACAGTTCATTTAATATACTAGTCTCTACAAATTGAGTGCTTATCCTGCTAGTGAAAGGGCTTGAAATTCAAGCTTCCTATTGTGGCTTTACGTACGAATCATTTAGATTATTTCCTCCACTATTTCTAGCCACTACAAGATTCTT